CAGTCCCTTTGACTCGCTCCCTCCATTGCCTCCTTAAAGGCACGTCTGAAGATCATCCTCTTCGACCGCATCTTTGGTCACCTTCCTACTCTTTCTCTCCCTGCCCTCCATCCCTCCTGATCCCATCCCAGCTCGGGTCCAAATAACTGACTGTCCAGCCAATGTGAAAGGTGCTATACAGATGTAATTTGTTGTTGTTGTTGTATTAAATGCAAGCAACACATTAAATCTCAAGACCTTTTGAAAAAAATATCCAGGTTGTGCATTAATCTAGAGACAAAATATCTTTTTGAAAATAAAGGTATAATATAGTTAAATTATAACAAAATTCTGGTAGAATAAAATATTGTGGAGCACTGAGTATGAAAGTTAATACAGGAGAACTCACATAAGTCAAGCAACCCTTTCCACTTTTGCGGATGTTACTACCCCCGTCCCCCAGTTCAGTTGCCACACTCCTGGTGATTGCAATGGTTTTCTTTCCCTAAACTAGTTCTGTGATATCACCTCGTTTCCCCCAACAATCAAGGCCGCATGCGCAAAAAAACGACATTTCCTGCGATTGAATGCATCTTGACTCGATGCTGCATGTGCACTTACCGGCAAGCATTCAAACTGCATCCAATCGAGGGAAATTAAGTTCTTTTGCTCGTGCATTGACAGATCAAGATTATGTTTCCTGCAATTCAAAGCAGCCGGTTGGTAAGTGCGCATACGTTAACGACATAATTTCTCATGATTTAAAGCAAACAGTAAAGTCCAGGAGTAATGGAGGGTAGGGGAACAGTGTTATGAGTTAGGAGGTGATTGATACGAGTAGTACAAGAAATCTAAGTGGTTTTGATAGAAAACCGAATGGGACTCGGTTGAATGTATGACTTAGGCGATTATACAATTGATAAAGATAAGACTGATACAAGTTTTGTTGTATTTAAAATTACATCTCATAAACTAACTCCAGAATTTCTATTAACATACAGTACTTGCCTTTTGCTAAAAATGCCTTTTAGGATAACAATATTCCCTAAGAATTTAATTACTCAGGAAGTAAAACATAGCAGAGCAGAGCAGAATACAAATTAAGGACTTTGTATTGATTGGCAAGTGATGCCATCAAAACATGTTTCAAGTATCAGCTAAGAATTAAACTCGGGTACAATTTACTGGCAGTTTTACAATTGCTTGGAGGAGAATGAATGCAGTTAGTACAGTATTTGATGTACACTCTGTGGTTAGAGCTTTGCACTCAGCTTGGCACTTTTCGAAGCTAATGTGCTATTTTCACATTCTCAGACAAAACTCTTGAATGTGACTGGCTGGCAAGGACCTCATGGAGGCGGGTTTCATTTTACCATTTCCTGTAACTTAATAAAGAGTGAGCATGCACGGATAGAAAGTTAGAGTGGACAACAGAACCAACATTCTTGAATAACTAATTATCATATAACCATGAATAATGTGCAGTGAACATTTTTTAAATGTTGTAAACTTTTGTTACTACATGGATAATGTAGGCATTGATACCATTAGGAATTATCTGAACCAGTATAGAACAATTATTAGTAGTGCTAGCTTGAACAGTAATATAATCCTGGTACAAAGAAAAATTTGCATTAATCACCTACTATTATCCATGTCTCCCCAACTTGTCATCTTAAAACCTACTTGGGTTTTAAACTGGATTGAAAAAGTAAACCCAGATCTTTACTAAGACAGAACAAGAGGATCTCGGTTTCTGTTGATATAGGTTTAGAGTTGTAAAGGGCAATTGTAGAACAGACACCAGGAAGCTTATTTCTTCAGAGGGTAATTAACACATGGAACAGGTTGCCAGGAAAAGTGGTTGAGGCCAGGACACTGGGGCAATTTTAAAGGGTGGGTATTCTAGAAGGTGAGATCAGATAGACTAAACAGCCATTCTCATACAAACCAATCTTGTGATCTTCCGTCAGTTTGGCTCAGTTGCCTCAGACACATTGCGCACATTACAACAAGATTACATTTGTATAACGCCTTTTACGTCAGGAGGATGTCCCATTACAGCAACAACAAGATTACATTTGTATAGAGCCTTTCACTTCAAGAGGACGTCCCATTAATGCTCCACAAACATCCATGAAGTGAATGATCAATTTTTTCTAGGTAAATTTTGGCTAGGGCAATGGGAGAAATGCTTCTCTCGTACCTCTCACTCTGAATTAAAAGACTGTGGGTTCGAGACCCACATCAGGAACTGACATAGTTTAAGTTGACAATCTAATGCAGTGCTGGGGGTTGTGCCTGCATCGCTAGAGGTGCTTTCAGATGGGACATTAAGCTGAGATCCCATCTGCCATTTCAGGAGAATGATAAAGATCCCATGGCACTACTCAAAATGATAAGGGAATTTCTTCCAGTGTCCTGGTCAATAAATTCTAAGATAAAATTAATCATTCACTTTATGGCTATTTGTAGGATACTGCTGCACTCAAATTGGCTGCCAGAGTCACCTACAAATATACGCTTTACAATAAATCCTGTGAAGGTTTTTGAAATATCCTCGTGTGAAAGACGCTGTATCAAATGAAAGTATTACCATTACTAAATTTGTATCTGCAGTAGATCCCCCGCCCACCACTTGCATCTTTTGGGCAAATGATTTTTTTTCTAGACTCTTCATCCCCTCCCCTCTAGTATCTGTTTTTGCAAGTTTCATTAACAGCTTAGCCAGGAATTAATGATACCTTACTTTGGCAAAAGGAAATAATAAAGTGACCAGCAGCACTGAAACACAAGCCCAAGATCATCTGGTTGTTTTGTTTTTCTCTCCTAATACTTTTGTAGAGGTTTCAGTATCTTTGTGGAGTCCTGTAGCTCAGTGGTTAGAGCACTCACCTTGCAAGCGAGACACCTGGGTTCGATTCCAGGCAGAGGGCGAAACCCTGGGCAAGTTTCCTTACTCCACACAGAGCCTAATAATAATCCCTCCAAAACCAAAAACAATAATAAATTGGTCATTTCAATCCACGACTGTTTGTGGGACACTGCTGTGCGCAATTGGCTGCCGCATTTCGCCCACAAAATATAGTCAATTCACTTTACAGTCTATTCTGTGAAGCGCTTTGAGACACCTATAAGATGTGAAAAGCGCTAAATCAAATGTAAGGATTATTATTATTATTATTTTAAAAAATTGTTATTAGTCAATCTTAGTGACAATGTAATATATACAGTAACTACTGCAATATTCTGGCAGCAATACACCAGACAACAAAATGAATAGTGATCTGGCAAGAACGATCAGTATCTGCACATTTGATTATAATGTATAATAATATTTACAACAATAAAAAAATATTTTAATAAAGGTTTCCTTAAAGCAACTGATTGGTTTATTTCTAGTTTCTCAAAACTGATAACACTGGGAGAAAGATAAATGGACCACCACATGCAACCACTGATCAAATTTAAGAACCTGGTTTCAAAAAGATGATTGATCCAGTAAACAAATTTAGGTCGATAACAGACACAATTAGTGAATCAGGAGCTGCCACAAGAGAATAATGGACAAAACATACAGATGACTCTTCACCCCACTCTTCCAACTTATCCCTGGTTCACTGTGAAAATAAAATGGTTTAAATCCTCTCTCAATTGTTACAATAAACCTGTTCATGTGCACTTTTTAACCAGTTTATTCCCAGTATTTGCGCTTCCACTGAAGCCCATAACGTTTATTGTAGTATTATCTAAATATATATATACACACACATACATACACACACAATTTTGATTATTATCTCAATCAATTTTACTAGAAAAGCTCTCGAGTGGGGGGGGAGGAGGGGGGACTGGGTTTAACACACAAAGCAACAATTCAGTGCCTTGATATGGTTCAGATGTACTGGAGAGGTCCTTTTCAGATTGAAACACACACACACTCTCTCTTTTGGAAACCATGAGTGTTGGGAGAGAGATGTTCAGCCGAGGCTCCCCCTTCCCCCTGGTGATAAATACATCCTCTGACAGGCAGCAGGTTTTTGGTTTGGCACATAACACAAACCCAACAGGATTTCCCCTCAGTGTTAACAGCAAATAACTGTCCACAATACAGTCCACATGACAGCCCAGAGCATCCCAGGACATGACAGCCCAGGACAGCCCAGGACATGACAGCCCAGGACAGCCCAGGACATGACAGCCCAGAGCATCCCAGGACATGACAGCCCAGGACAGCCCAGGACATGACAGCCCAGGACATGACAGCCCAGGACAGGGCAGGACAGCCCAGGGCAGGGCAGGACATGACATCCCAGGGCAAGGGCAGGACAGCCCAGGGCAGGGCAGGACATGACATCCCAGGGCAAGGGCAGGACAGCCCAGGGCAGCCCAGGACATGACAGCCCAGGACAGCCCAGGACATGACAGCCCAGGACAGGGCAGGACAGCCCAGGACAGGGCAGGACAGCCCAGGACAGGGCAGGACAGCCCAGGGCAGCCCAGGACATGACAGCCCAGGACAGCCCAGGATATGACAGCCCAGGGCAGGGCAGGATAGCCCAGGGCAGGGCAGGGTAGCCCAGGGCAGGGCAGGATAGCCCAGGGCAGGGCAAGACATGACATCCCAGGGCAGGATAGCCCAGGGCAGGGCAGGGCAGCCCAGGGCAGGACAGCCCAGCCCAGGGCAGGGCAGGACAGGACAGCCCAGGGCAGGGCAGGGCAGGACAGCCCAGGGCAGGACAGCCCAGCCCAGGGCAGGGCAGGACAGGACAGCCCAGGGCAGGGCAGGGCAGGGCAGGACAGGGCAGGGCAGGGCAGGGCAGGACATGACAGCCCAGGGCAGGGCAGGATAGGGCAGGGCAGGAGGGGGGTTTGCTCACACAGGAAGCTGGAGGTGTTCCCGGTGTCCTGCCCTGGATGGGGGGCTCGTGGAGGTGGGACACGAGGGCAAACGTCCAGTGGCTCTCGGGGCTGTGACTGACCGACATGTGCCTCAAAGTGAAAATGAGCCGCAGACTCACCGTCCCAACTCCGCTTCCAGATCGTAGTGATCCTCAAAAGCGCTGGATTTGTGCGAGTCGTCGATCCAGTATTCACAGGAGAGAGCTCGGCCCGGGGGCTTGGGGGTCTTCAACATCATCCCCCCGCCCGCCGCCCGCCCCCCTCACTGTCCCCCCTCACCGCCCGCCGGCCCGCCCTCACTGCCCCCCTCACTGTCCCCCCTCACCGCCCGCCGGCCCGCCCTCACTGTCCCCCTCACTGTCCCCCCTCACCGCCCGCCGGCCCGCCCTCACTGTCCCCCCTCACCGCCCTCCCTCAGTGCCCCCCTCACCGCCCACCCGCCCCCCTCACACTGCCCGCCCGCCCGCCCCCTCACCGCCCTCCCTCAGTGCCCTCCCTCACTGTCCTCCCTCACCGCCCTCCTCAGTGCCCTCCCTCACTGTCCCCCTCACCGTCCCTCTCAGTGCCCTCCTCACTGTCCCCTCACTGCCCTCCCTCAGTGCCCCCTCACCGCCCTCCTCAGTGCCCTCCCTCACTGTCCCCCCTCACCGTCCCCTCTCAGTGCCCTCCCTCAGTGCCCCCCCTTACTGCCCCCCTCACCGCCCTCCCGCCCTCAGTGCCCCCTCACCGCCCTCCCGCCCTCACCGCCCTCCCGCCCTCAGCGCCCCCCTCACCGCCCTCCCGCCCTCAGTGCCCCCCTCACTGCCCTCCCGCCCTCAGTGCCCCCCTCACTGCCCTCCCGCCCTCAGTGCCCCCTCACTGCCCTCCCGCCCTCAGTGCCCCCCTCACTGCCCTCCCGCCCTCAGTGCCCCCCTCACTGCCCTCCCGCCCTCAGTGCCCCCCTCACTGCCCTCCCGCCCTCAGTGCCCCCCTCACTGCCCTCCCGCCCTCAGTGCCCCCTCACTGCCCTCCCGCCCTCAGTGCCCCCCTCACTGCCCTCCCGCCCGCCGCCCGCTCTCACCGCCGCCGCCTCCCCTCAGCCCCACAGCAACTCCTCCACCCGCTCAGTCAGTCAGTCAGTCAGTCAGTGAGAGGAGAGGAGAGGCTCTCAGTGTACAGTACAGTGCAGTGCAGTGAGAGGCGTCACTCCCCCACTCTCTGCCCACAATCTGCAGTTTCTCTTCACTAAGTTCTTGGCTTTGAGCAGAAACAGTTAAATACCTACATATTACATACATACATACAGTATATAGGTAGGTCTGTGGTGTATGTGTTGGTGTGTGTGGTGTATGTAGGTGTTGGTGTGTGTGGTGTATGTGTTGTGTATGTTGGTGTATGTGTTGGTGTGTGTGGTGTATGTTGGTGTGTGTGTTGGTGTATGTTGGTGTGTGTGTTGGTGTATGTTGGTGTGTGTGTTGGTGTGTGTGTTGGTGTGTGGTGTATGTTGGTGTATGTGTTGGTGTGTGTGGTGTATGTTGGTGTGTGTGTTGGTGTGTAGTGTATGTTGGTGTATGTGTTGTGTATGTTGGTGTGTGTGTGTTGGTGTGTGGTGTATGTTGGTGTATGTGTTGGTGTATGTTGGTGTGTGTGGTGTATGTTGGTGTGTGGTGTATGTTGGTGTATGTGTTGGTGTGTGTGGTGTATGTTGGTGTGTGGTGTATGTTGGTGTATGTGTTGGTGTGTGTGGCGTATGTTGGTGTGTGTGTTGGTGTGTGGTGTATGTTGGTGTATGTGTTGGTGTATGTGTTGTGTATGTTGGTGTGTGTGTTGGTGTGTGGTGTATGTTGGTGTGTGGTGTATGTTGGTGTGTGTGTTGGTGTATGTTGGTGTGTGTGTTGGTGTGTGGTGTAAGTTGCTGTGTATGTTGAGTATTTGCCCCAATAAGCGCCTTTTGAAGTGAAACCAGTTGGAAAGAAATGATCCCCAAGTTATACCCACGGCAGCTCCCACTGTGTGTGTCTGTGACAGTCTCTGGGTGTCACTCAGGCCGTCACAGTCACACACACAGTCACACACACACACACACAGTCACACACACAACAACAACAACAACAACAAGATTCCATTTATAGAGCGCCTTTCACGTCGGGAGGACGTCCCAAGGCGCTGTACAGTTGGGTCAGGACCCGAGCTTTGGGGGGGGAGAATGGGAGGGAGCGAGGAGGGGGGAAATGGTCAGGGTGAGGGGAGGGAAGGGAGGGAGCGAGGAGGGGGGAAATGATCAGGGTGAGGGGAGGGAAGGGAGGGGGCGAGGAGGGGATAGAGAGTCGAGAGGAGAGCTGAAGGCTCGGTCAAAGAGAAAGGTCTTGAGACCGGCCTTAAAGGAGGAAAGGGAGGAGGCGGCGAAGGCACTGGGGGATAGAGTTCCAGAGCCTGGGGGCTGAGAGGCTGAAGGCCCGACCACCGATGGTAGGGCGGTTGGGGCGGGGGATGTGGAGCAGACCGGAGCCAGAGGAACGGAGGGTACGGGCAGGTAGGTAGGGGGATAGTAGGTCGGAGAGGTAGGAGGGAGCAAGGCCGTGAATGGCCTTGTAGGTGAGGATGAGGATCTTGAATTCGATCCTCTGGGGGATGGGGAGCCAGTGGAGGTGAGCGAGGGTGGGAGTGATGTGGTCCCGAAGTCTGGTGCGGGACAGTACACGAGCTGCAGAGTTCTGAATGACCTGCAGTGTGGAGGGAGGTGCCGGGAAGGCCGGCGAGGAGAGAGTTCCCATAGTTTGAGGTGATAAAGGTGTGGACCAGAGTTTCAGCAGCGTGAGGGGTGAGGTAGTGCCGTAGTCTGGCGATGTTCCGGAGGTGATGGAAGGCGGTGCCAGTTGTGGTGCGGATATGAGGGAGAAAGGACAGCTCAGGGTCGAACAGAACCCCGAGGTTCCTGACTGTCTTTGAGAGGTGGAGAGTGCAGCCTTGGATGCTGATGGTGTCAGCGCCTGTCACACACACATACACACAGACACACACACAGTCACACAGTCACACACACACAGACAGTCACACACACTGACACTATAATAATAATTTGATATAGTGCTTTTCACGTCGGGAGGTCGTCCCAAAGCGCTTCACAGAACACACTGTAAAGTGAATTGACTGTATATTTGTGGGCAAATGCGGCAGCAAATTGCGCACAACAATGTCCCACAAACAGTCATAGATTGAAAATGACCAATTTATTATTGTTTTGGGTTTTGGAGGGATTATTATTAGGCTCTGTGTGGAGTAAGGAAACTTGCCCAAAGGTTTCGCCCTCTGCCTGGAATTGAACTCAGGTCTCTCACTTGCAAAGCGAGTGCTCTAACCCCTGAACTACAGGACTCCACAAACTGACACTCTCCTCAGCACCGCCCACCCCCGGTCCTGGTGCCCTCAACTACACCAGAGCCCCACTGCCGCCTAATCAACCACCGACTTGGCTTTTCTTTCTGTTATGTATTCCTCCCTTCCCCCCTCCCCCACCCCCTCCCCTCCCCTCCCCACCCCCTCCTCCCCTCCCCCACCCCTCCCCCCTCCCCCCCCTCCTCCCCTCCCCCCCCCCCTCCCCACCCCTCCCCTCCACCCCTCCTCCTCCCCCACCCCCTCCTCCCCCCCCCCTCTCCCCTCCTCCCCTCCCCACCCCTTCCCCACCCCCTCCCTCCCCCTCCCCCACCCCCTCCTCCCTCCCCCCCCTCCTCCCTCCCCCCACCCCCTCCTCCCCTCCCCCACCTCCCCTCCCCACCCTTCCCTCCCCCCCTCCTCCCCTCCCCACTCTCCCCTCCCCACTCCTCCTCCCCCTCTCTCCCCTCCCCCATCTCTCCTCCCCCCTCCCCCTCCCCACTCCTCCCCTCCCCCACCCCCCTCCCCCCTCCCCCCCCCCCCCCCTCCTCCCTCCCCCACTCTCTCCTCTCCCCTCCCCCCCCCCCCTCCTCCCCCCCCCCACTCTCTCCCCCCCCACTCTCTCCCCTCCCCCACTCTCTCCCCTCCCCACTCTCTCCTCCCCTCCCCCACTCTCCTCTCCCCCTCCTCCCTCCCCCACTCTCTCCCCTCCCCCACTCTCCTCTCCCCACTCTCTCCCTCTCCCCCACTCTCTCCCCTCCCCCACTCTCTCCCCTCCCCCACTCTCTCCTCCCCCACTCTCTCCTCTCCCCCTTCCCCTCCTCCCACTCTCTCCTCTCCCCCACTCTCCTCTCCCCACTCTCTCCTCTCCCCCTTCCCCTCCTCCACTCTCTCCCCTCCCCCACTCTCCTCTCCCCACTCTCTCCCCTCCCCCCTCTCTCCCCTCCCCCTTCTCTCCTCCCCTCCCCACTCTCTCCTCTCCCCCCTCCCCACTCTCTCCTCTCCCCTTCCCTCCCCACTCTCTCCTCTCCCCCTTCCCCTCCCCCACTCTCTCCTCTCCCCCTTCCCCTCCCTCCTCCCCTCTGCTCTTTAGCCGGTGCCTCGGCTTCTCCAGCTCACAATGCTCCGCTATGTCTGTACTTGGACATTTGGTGTTGGTGGAGAGGGTGATGTCTCAGGATGTGGGACCCTCCGCTCACTCTCTTCCCACCCACCCCCAACTCAAGGTGTGTGGGGGGTGGGGCTTGAGTTTTGTGGGGGAGGAGGGGGAGAGGCTTGAGGTGTGGGGGGAGAAGGGGGAGGGGCTCAAGGTGTGGGGGAGGGGCTCAAAGTGTTGGGGGGAGGGGCTCAAGGTATGGGGGGAGGAGGAGGGGCTCGAGGTGTGGGGGAGGGATCTTTAATATCCACCTGAACAGGCAGACGGAACTTTGGTTGGAAGTTTCATCTGGAGGATGGCACTTTGGACAACTCAGCGCAACACGTCGGAGGATCAGAGTGGACCACAAGACCAAATCCAAATGTGGGGATTGAAGCCACAAGTTTCTAACGTGAAGGTGGCTCAATTGAGTCAGCGTTGACACTTTGAGTTTGTTATAGTGCCTTTTATACCACGCAAAGTGCTTCACAGGATAGATTGCCTATTTTGTAGACAAATGTGTAAAGGGTTGTGTGGAGGAAATTGAAGTTACGTTTACAATAGAGGGATACACTTATTCAATCCAAGTCAAATTAGTGAAGTATTGATGTAAACCCCATTATAATCTGTAAGCAATGTTGCATTTTTGAATGCACATAAGTGCAACCAAAATAATCAGTAAAGCCCAAAGAAATATTGTAAAAATCATCCAGTTAGGTACACAAAATGTAGTACAATAAATTTTTATTTATATAGAGTCCTATACTTTGGATGTAGATCTGTGAAAGTGAGAAACTAAGAGAAATGATTTGATGCCTTCTCTTCTTCCTACTCACACTCCCATGGTGGTGGGGTTGCTTTTAAAATCTTAGTGATGTCACTGATAAATGCAGGATGACTGAATTGTGGTGCACCAGAAATAGTTGCTTTATAATGGAATTATTGATGGGAAACTGATGCACAATGAAATATATTTCTTCTCTTCCTCAAAAGTTGAAGATTCTTATTTGTACCTGTATATAGTATGATCAGTTGCATACTAATGTGACTGTTTGTCCCTCCCATCTTTTAACTGGGTTAGCAAGACAATCAAAACAAAAACTGCAACTCTTTATACACAGCATAGAAATGAATCTAATGCAACACAATATTTATAATTGCAATAACATAATTGTAAGCATTTTACCCGAGGTAGTTTCTGGCATTAAGCATTCCTCTAGGATCAGGTCTTCTGCACGACCCCCATATATTACCAGAAGGTGTCTACAATCATGTGAACTCATCTGTGAAGCACTCTATAACAATTTGAAATAATGTTTGAAGCACTATTTTATCATGGTTGGTATGCTTGTTAATTACACCCATTAAGAAACATGCTACCATATTCAAAGCACTAGTCTGGAGAGAGATCCATTTCGTTCCACTGAAACTTCATGTGAAACATTTTAGTTTTGGAATTAATTAAATTAAAAAAACATTTTTCTTGAAATGGCAAGCATAAAGAAGATTGACTGATGAGTGCAATTTGAAACTAACATAGAAAAATACAACTGGCACTCACAGCCAGGTTTAGAAAAATAGTTCAAATTGTTTTCACAAATATTTTATTGCAAAAGCTTGAGGGTTGTCAGAGAAAAAGTTATTTTCACAGGCTTGAATTCTGAGAGTGGGAGACAGTGTGGTGAGTTTTGAATGTACAATGAAGATGAAGTGTGCAGGACTATTTATATTGAGCTTGAGGATCAACGAGCCATGTTGAAACCGACTGTTTCATTGCCTGTGATGCATCAACATATTCCTATTTCCAGCAGTATCTCTAGAGTCCATGCAGATTTCCACAAAAAGGAAATTGGAGCATTGCCCCAAGACGTTCTTCTGTACCTCTAGTGACACATAACTGGTTTTGAAGCGGTGTTGGACAGTGTTCCTTGCCTAACTTAGGGGACCCAAAGAGAAAACATATTTTGTATAAGGTTATTCTCAGTCATGAAAATTTGCTGGATCTGCTGTTTACTTTATTTACAAAAAATTATTTACTAAGTTTATGACCCTTGATATTTCAACTATTCCAACTTTTGTTATTTTGTTTATTTATTCATTGAAATGTACGTTACCCTATCTGAATTTCTTTATTTATCGAAATGGAATATAATACAAAATTACACTTGTAAAGTGTCTTTCACGTCGGGTGGACCCCCCAAGGAACTGAACAGTCAGAGATTAGGACCCGAGCTGGTGGGGGGCGGGGAGGGGGGAGCGGGGTTGGGATCATGGCAGGTGGGGGAAGGAGGGTGGCCGAAAGCACGGTCGAAGAGGGTCTTGAGGTGCGCCTTAAAAGAGGCGAGGGAGCGAGCAAGGTGAAGGGAATGTGGGATGGAGTTCCAGAGGGTGGGGGCAGAGATGCTGAAGGCCCAACCGCCAATATTGGGTCAGGCCGGGCAGGGGACATGAGGCAGGCTAGAGCCTGCTGAGCAGAGAGAGTGTGCAGGTTGTTAAGGGTTAGCAGGTTAGAGGTAGGAGATGGCAAGGCCATGGAGGGCCTTGAAGGTGAGGCAGAGAATTTTGAACTTGATCCTCTGAGGGATGGGGAGCCAGTGGAGCCGGGCGAGGGTGGGTGGGATGGGGTCACGGAGCTTGGTGCGGGAGAGGACATGAGCTAGAGTTCTGGATGATCTGCAACTTGTGGAGGGAAGAGTTGGGAAGGCTGACAAGCAGGTGTTGACATAGTCGAGCAATGAAGGCATGTATGAAGGTTTTGATGGCCTGAGGAGGTGAGGCAGTGGCGGAGTCAGACAATGTTGCGGAGGTGGGGGAAGGCAGAGCGGGTCATGGCATAGATGTGGGGAAGCAAGGACAGTTGAGGATCGACGCCTAGGTTCCTTGAAATGTACTAGGCTCCTACGCCTAGGTTCTTAACTGCCTTGGTGAGGTGGAGTGTGCATTCATGGATGCCTATGCTGCCAGTGCTTGAGGTGCAGAGGGGCGCCAATCAGGAGGCCTCGGTCTTGCTGACGTTCAACTGTAGAAAGTTGGCTCTCATCCAGGACTTGATGTCTGACAGGCAGTCTGTCAGGACATCAGTAGCCCTGGGATCGAGGATGGAGGCAGAGATAGAGTTGCATGTCATCTGCGTACATGTACATTATCCTATCTGAATTTGAAGGTCATGGTGTGCAAATCCTCTTTTATACTCTTAATGCATTAGTATCAAATGTTTTTGTTTACTTATTTTGAAACCATTTTTCTAGAAATATCAAGAAAGGTGTTAACACCTATGTGAAAACTTCTTCAATTCACACGTTGAGGTGGTGAACTTCTCAACAGTCCCACCAGACACTGTATCCTGTATGTCTATCTCTTTGGAGGGCTGCCATACCAGCCAATTTTGTAATTTAGTCCTAACCAAAAGTTAGCTACCCTTTATCCTTTAGTTGTGAGGGGACTGAGTGAGGAGACAAGATTAGAAGATAGCTCCAATGGAAGAGCTAACAACAACTTGCCTTTATATAGCGCCCTTCACGCAGGGTAGCATCCCATAGCGCTTAACAGAGCACCAGAACATACAATATGAGGCTGAAAACTTTCTATTGTACAAACTCTTGAACGTGGTAAATTCAAGAAACTATTTTAGCAATGAACTCTGTTGAATTCTTTTGCAGAATTGAAAGTAGTCACAATGGGATATTTAGGAGGGAGTTTGAAGAGTATACTGTTAACCATTTTATCTTTAATTAAAGCTGATTTAATTTCTGAATATTTGTTTGATCAGTATGAAGTAACACACCTATTTTCAAGTTAACATCTAAGAAAGGAACAACCTTTTACCATGTTTATAGGAAACTACTGTTTCATGAATATAAATAGACATTGTGTTTAGTTTTGGTGCAGCAAAGACCAAATTGTAGATCTGTGATATTAAAATGGTTTGATCCTATAAAATGTATAACCTTTTTATTTCAAAAAGTGGCACACTAAACTATGTTGTGAAAAAATGTTGAGTATTAGTGAAACAAGTAATATGAAGAGATGAATTGTATTGTTCTGAAGAGTTTATTAGTCACATGCAACTAGACAATAAATCACTTCTATTTGCAAAACGATGTAAACTGACATACAAAATAGAGGCCCAGCATGAATGAAACTTTACTATCCATAACAACACTGTTTGGGTGCTTTCTCTTATATATGTAGTCAATTAAACCTGGGTGTCCAGTTATAGCACTACGTATAAGAAACTGAACAGGTACAGCTTTGTAGGCCCAGAAATTAAAACTTTAAAATACCATTTTTATCCATACCATTCCTGTTATTGACAGTGCACCCACTCAGTCTATAAAGCAGACTGTGAAAAGTGGCATGATTATCATGTGTGGGTGGGAAAAATTGTCAGAAAGATTATTTGTACTGTGCACTGAATCTCTAAGTAGGAATACTAACAGCAACAGTGACCATGAATATCATTTGTGCAGTGCGCCTTTATGGACGTTTCATTACATGCTTTCAGTCACCATTTTAAATAGTAATATATTTTGGACTATAATACAGCACTCTTCATATATCCCAGCAAACACATGCTTTGATTGAAAAGAGTCTGCATATGCATCCATGTTTCTTCCAGTGATTTTGAGACTTTAGACATTTCTTCTAGTAGCACTGGCGCAGTGGCAATTACCTTAAGGTGAAGCTTCAAAAAAGAAAAAAAAACAGGATTTATAAAACTGCGTGCATTTTGACCCAGCACAATGCAAATGATCTTCCTAAATATGCATTACTTCACACAAATAACATTTCTAATGTTGATCAAGAGTAAATTTCTTAATTTGATAGCAGAAATATCAAAAAGCAGTTAATAACTTACAATTTTACCATAAAGGTACCAGTGCATTAACTTTATACTGAAATACAATAGCAGAGGCAAGTCAACAAAATTTACCTGTAGTACCCTAAAGAACACAAGCAAGGGGCAACCCCAATGGTGACTGCAATGGATAGAGCTTACAGACCAGGAACTCGCTGGTTGAAATTCTGGTGCAAAGTTGGTAAATTGGCCCTGGTCTTCTCAGGGTTTGGGAGAGGAACACCAGCCAGTGTTCCTACTCCCAATGCTTCTACAGAGCCCTTTACTGGTTATGAACAGGTAGATGGCAGACTTGGCTCTGATACCTTCTAAAGTTGAATGGCTGCCAAATGAAAAATGGCCACTGGACAAAGTACTGAGATGCCCAACAAGACTGCATCCCAACAAGAGGACAGACCAGGAGCAGAGAAAATTAGAAAAATAATTGGACATACTAATTTAAAAAAAAAGGTAAGTTTGGATAAAGTATTGTACTATGTTTGATTTTCTTAGAACACTTATCCCAAAGTTTCTTTAATATGTAAATATAAAATATAAAATTAACTCTTCCTACTTAAAACCTCATATTTTTGGAAGAAGTTTTTGATTATTTAATGAAATAATTAAAACAGAAATTCCAATGTTTGTACTCTAACAATTATATTGTTCCAGTAATAAACTTAACAAAACGAATTTTACTACAATTTATGTGGTATTATTTGATGTATGTCACTAACACTGGTGCTTAACAGGCATAACATTTTACAGCTGTTTTACACGCTGGGTAGGGTTTAACATGCAACAACAACTTGCACTTATATAGCTCCCTGCATACAGGGTAATGTCTCAGAGCGCTTAACAGTGGCGGGGCCCGACTCCGAGCCGGGGTGGGAGGAGGTGGCCATAAGCACAGTCGAAGAGGAAGGTCTTCAGGTGGGACTTGAAAAAGGCAAGGCGGCAAGGTGGAGGGATTGGGGGAGTGTTCCAGAGTTTCGGGGCATAGTGGCTGAAAGCGCAACCTCCAATGGTGGGCCGGAGGGCGCTGGCTGATACCAGTTAGCAGAGGCGCCGAGTGGTGGATTGGGGAGTGAGGAGGTCGCAGAGGTGCCAGAGAGTGAAGGGATTTGAACACGAGAGTGAGAATCTTGAAGTCGATCCGTTCGGTGATGGGGAGCCAGTGGAGCCTGGCCAGAACTGGTGAGATGTGGGTACGGAGTTTGGTCCAGGTCAGTATGGGGCGGCAGAGTTCTGAATGAGGCTTAATCTCTGCATATAGTACATCAACTAATTCATTCACAGGTCCTACTTTGACAAAAGTGCTTTTCTAAAACTGATTTAAGTTTATTGGCAGATCGCTTTTCCAGGGGTAATATAATTTCTTAATGACTGTTTGTGGGACACTGCTGTGTGCAATTGGCTGCCACGTTTCCCCCACAAATATACAGTCAATTCACTTTACAGTCTATTCTGTGAAGCGCTTTGAGACGTCTCGAAGATGTGATAAGGTGTTATATAAAATGCAAGGATTATTTTATATTATTTTATATAAATCTTACATGTGTTAGTTTAATCCAGCTACATTTAATTCACATAATCCGGATATGATAGCACTAATTTTTTTAAACTGAAAATCATAAATCAAGAAAGTCCTTTCAACATTCACAAAGATAACACTTGTATTGTCAAGATGAACACTTCCTTTTTCATAGAATTATACAGCACAGAAGGAGGCCATTCGGCCCATCGTGTTTGAAAAGAGCTATCCAAATTTCTCACAAAAGCGATAAAAGAACACTAAACTTTGGTCATGTTTGTATTGGAGGATGGAGGTGGGGGGGGGGAGAGGGAGGAAGGAAAGAAAGAAAATGTGAAAGTATGTTCGAAAAGATAGGTTTAAGGTAGGCTTTAAAGGTGGGGATGGCTTTGTAATTTGATAAGCCTCCCATAGGCTTGGGAGTATCTTACTTCAGTTCCTTGGCTGCACCATAAAACTATTTTTTTTAAAAACCAAATAAATCTACAAACTACATTTGTGAATTAGCATGTACCCCAAGGCCTCGAATTTCCCCACAAAATTTGACCAGAAAATTATTAAGTACCGGATGCGAACTCTTTAAGCACAAAATGAATACATAAAATACACCTGCAAAAATACACATTCACTACTTTTTAACTTATGTGAAATACTTTAAGCTATCCTCCTATATGAAAGGTGCTATATCAAATGTAAATATTATTATTAATATTATGAATAGGTTACAGGGTGAAAAATATTCCAACCAGAAGTAAGATTTTCTAGGGCTGAAATCCTATGGATGAACAATTGGATTAAATCAACAATAACCAAGGAGGCATAAAATAATAGATTAGGCTGCTTATGAACATAAGTAATATCAAAAGCACATCAGAAACAAAGGTGGGACTAAGGAAGTAGCTATGCTTCTAAAAGATGAAGGAACCAAATTTATAGTGGAGAATAATGAAATGACACAGATGCTTAACACAAGTTTTGCCTCAGTATTTACCAAACAGGATGAAGGTAGAACTGCAGGAACAAAGGTAAGAGTGAAAGAGAAACTCTTAAATATTAACTAAGATGTTCATATTTAAAGTTAGTAGCTACCAGGTCTAGATGGTCTATACTGAGACTATAAAATTCCACAATTCTTTGGAAACATATTGTACCAATGGGACTAGAGATTATCCATCGCTGCACCACTGTTCAAAAAACTTGAATAGATATTAGGCCACGAACATTGGATCGATTAATTTCTGATTAGGAGAAGCAAACTTCTGGAAGGATAATATTAGTGAACATTTAGAAAGTTTTAAACTGGTCAGATAAGCATGGTTGGTTGTAAAAAGAGATTGAAATTTTTGAGGATGTTACAAAACAATCAAAACGGAATATATCTGGATCAAATAAAGCTTCTGGTGCCAATAGCATCTTTCTATAGTCATTTATGTCTCAAAGGTCTAAACAGCAAATCACTGGAAAGTGATATCATAGCAGGAATTCCTAGCTGATATTTTATCCCTTTACTCTTTATCCTAAGTATTATTATTATCCTACGTATGATAAGCAAACCCTTGTCCAACAACAAAATCCTTTCCTAAAATGGGTAGTTCAATGATCAAACCAAAGACACCTAGTCTGTATCCTTCTGTGACACGTAATTTGGTGCATTTAACCCAGCGAAGGAGGGAACAGAACATAAATTTCGGGATATAACAAAACAAATATTAGTGACAAGCACAAACTTACAAATGATTGAGAAGCTTTAAAAATTTGCTGCAAAATAAAATTGTTTGTATCTGATTCAGAAGTGTAATACTTACCTTTAGGAACAATGCCAGATATGCCTGGGCCAATTCAAAGTCACGCTTGGTACCAAGCATGCAGCTGATCACACGTAGGAAGCTCTGCATCACATCTAAAGAACCACCTCCTTCTGGGGCCAAACCTCTCAGCTCAATGTCAATACCTGATGGTCCCATTTCTTTAAGAAGTTTAACTGGATGGTCATCTACAAGAAATCAAGAAAATAAGTGAACATCCTATATATCCTCTGAAATCTTTTACTTGAAAGATGTTTATTTGATTGCAATAAATAATGTACAAAAGACAAGACAAATACATTTTAGCCAAGTCATTTTGTTTTTTAAAATAAGAAATTTGCCAAAAAAAACTTAAAAATGAAATTCTCTTTTTGAAGATTGCAATATTTAACTAGAAAAATCTATAGAACAGCCTAGTTGTTACTGACAAGCAATTTTAGGAACTAGAATTTTACCAAAAGATAGCAGATTCTCAAGCAAGGACTATAACTGGGAATGTGTATGAACAATAAGTGCAATCTCTGGGTTCTAACTATCATCTGAAATTGTCCAATAATGGAAGCAGTCAAGAGATCACAAGCCAGAAAACAGAGGTTAAATAGCATCACAATATTTATGAGTTTTTAATGAAGCTTCACATTTTTTAGAATTTATCACCAATATTGAGAGACCCATCTTTAGATCCTCAGTCACTAGATGCTAGTTAATCATTCATGAGTCATAACAACATTTTTATCATCACAAATGAATGCAATAACTTGGGAACATAACATTGATATTAGAAGAACTGGATCCAAGTAATGGCTCTACAATGAAACCTTAAAAGTTGGAGAACATGTGAACATAAAATAAATTATATCCATATTTCCTAGAAGAACTGGGAAATATGTGGAGAGACAGTTGGAAAACGTGTATAGTGTTTTCAAAATTTAAATTGCACGTTTCAGAGGATCAAAGGTTACGATTACAATCAAGAAGGAAAAAAAAGTAATCTTTAACTTATTGTTTCTATTCTTCGACCAAAAAAACAAACAAAAATTTGGCATGTTTTACAGAATCTTAAGTTGGATTTAAAGAGCAATCTAATATTTTTACAAGGGTAAATGAGCAAACAATTATTGCTGGCCGTTATGTAGAAGTAAATATTGTTGTCCATATTAAGAAAGTGCATATATAATTAGTAATTCAAATAAAGACAAGACAAAGTTAAGGCACATCTTAAATAAATATTCTTACACTAACCTAAATAACATTTGGAATTAATTTATGGAATTACAGCCTTATGATCTGGAGAAACCAATGATACTATTGAGAACAAAGAAAACATTGGGTTAACAGAAGATAAAGCAGATGAGAAAAGGCATAGAAGCATTCTCAAATATACAGCTAGGTAGAAGAGTGGCATCATTCGTAAATAATCACATAATTGTTGGCGAAAGGTGGATATAATAGAAGGGATGATGGCTGAAGCAATAAGCAGAAATTGGTAATAAGGTAGTAATTGGAAATTGCTATGGACGGCCGACTCAAGATGAACAGATGGATAGCAAGCTGTTTGAGCAGGTACAAGACAAGAAGATGCAGGGAATTATAATTTCATAATCGGGGGGGATTTCAACATGCCAGAAGTGGACAGACCAGAGGGATCTGAAAGAGAGGAGTGAAAGTATAAACCAATTTCAAAGCAGTAATTAGTGCTTTCTTCTTAACATGTAAAGCAGGTACCAAGACGTACATTATACCAAATTTAATATTCAGTAGTCAAATCAAAAATGAGTTTGAAAGATGGTGGCAATACTCTCAAACATTTCCTGCTGAGTTGCATTGCCACCACGAAGCTCACAGGGAGTTCCTGGTAAGTGGCATTCACCTAGTGAGGTCTCAAACCTACATTTGTCAAATATCAAATGACCAACTGGTGACTATTCTCCTGGGGGGGTGGGGGGCGGAGGAGTAGGAGCACATTCCTCTGCAAAATATGTCACCTTGGAGCTGAACCAGCTCACAGGTAATACGTTTGACAAGAGAATGTCAGAATCGAGCCAACTTTCTGTGGCGGTTTCAGGTAGAAAAGTTCTTAAGCGAGGCAGGACTGCAGTATTCCAGGGTGCTGCTGATGACAGCCCATGCAACCGTCTGTCTCAAAGACAGGACTTGGAAGGGCAGACCAGTCACTTGGGGCAGGAAATCTTCCCATTTAGCTCCTGTTAATTCTGCAAGACAAAGCCCTAACAGGTAGGGTGGTCGTAACTGGACAAGCAGTGGGAAAGTTTGTCAGACAGTGCTTTCAATGACTCTTTCGATGAGTGGGCTTCAGCAGTGTCCCAACGCACAATCATGGGTGCCCAAGCCTTGGCTCTTGCCAACATGCGCCTAACACTCTCCAAAATTGGGCAAGCTAGGGAGAGATTGCACACTCCATTCCATTAAAATATCTTGCAAATTTCCTTTACATCATTTATAAAGGTTACGATGCATAGAGCTCTGTTTGGTTTGGATACTCATAAGCATGACAATGGGTTTCTGCAGTATCGGGTGCCTGGCTGACAAAAACATTTTTTTAAAAAAGGTGGTGAGCACAGGAGGTGTTAAAAATCACTCTATTGAGATTTGAACTTAAATACTGCTGCTCCCTATATTTTTTTATATGGGTTTGTAATCTTGCTTGATTTTAATGCTAACTTATTACCAAAGACCAAAATTAGTTAAAGGATAAAATCTAAGAACTGGTGTCAGAAACTTCCTAATGATGAACATAATTCATTTAGATAAATGATTAGTGTCTTAGCAGTCATAAATAGTGTTATGAAATAAATGCAAGATCCACCGAGCTTCAGGTAAAGAAAGTTAGAGAGTAAATTGCTCTCAACTCAAAAGCAAAAGTTCTAGCTTTACTCAGATCAGACCTTTACATCACTAAAATGCATAATTGCTTCCTTTTGTTTTTGCCTGGCCAACAAATACAAAAAGTATACTCTATAAGGAATTTGAACAAGTGACAAAATATCATAGTAATGTGGATATTATTGATAAATAGAAAGTTTGCAAGATTTTGTTTGCATCTTACTTACAATTTTTGGTATTTAGGGCATTCTCCAGCTGCACGTAGAATTCTGACTTTTGCGCCAACATGCCCAAATTTACTACTTTAGACTTTGAGAATGGGATAAAAAAAAGAAACATAATTATAAAGGTTGCAGTATCATAACTCCACAGTTGCGCACAGCAATGTACCACAAACAGCCGTGAACTGAATGACCAATTTTATTTGGCCAGGACACCGAAAGAAACTCATTTCTCTTTTCGAATAGTGCCATGGGATCTTTAACATCCATCAGATTGAACCTCAATTTAACGATTCATCCAAAGGACGGAACCTCTGACAATGAACCCCCCCGCCACGCTCCCAGCACTGCATTGGAGTGTAGCTTACACTATGTCAGTTCAAGTTCTGACGTGGGATACAAATATAAAACAAGCTGATTTGGCATACATTTTAAATATCATTTACATTTTTACATTTACATTTTTCTGAACAATTAAAGACTGGTTCTGGAATATTTCCAGATCAGTACAATATGGATGCACCAAACAAGAAATGTAAATAACCTCAGGAAGTTTCAAATGCAGGTTTGAAAGTACAATATGCATATCACCATAAATGTAATGGATTTTATTTTATTGCTTACCTGGTCCTGAGCAGTTGACTCATCCATAGAAGCAAAGCGAGGCACCAGGCCAGGAACAGTTGGAATGAAGAAGGGAGCAGATTTGGGCACCTTAGGTGGCTCCTTTGGTTTGTTCCTTTTCTGTAGACCAGCCAAAAAAATAGAATAATCAGAACTCAAGATTTGTACAAAATTAGATTTCAGGTATATTGTCAAAATAACCACCTTCTTTTGACATTACACATTATCTATGTGTATTGGCAAAATATAAAATTATTGTATATGAAAAATATCTACCTGTAAGCAATAATTTTACAAAAAAAATAACCAATATTGTTTATTTCTGGTTCCTCGGGTAGCAGTTAGGGCTAATTAAAGTTTGCACAGCAGACCTAAAAGTAAAATGCAAATAGGCTATAATATTTATGAGTGTCAAACTATTAGTGGGATTGGTTGATAAAGATAAAATGATGGCAATTGTTTTAATGATGTTTCCGCCTAATACATGTAGTACCCAGGTTGATTAACACCACTATAGAATAAGAAAAGGAGTTTGATCATTCAATGAAGAACTGAAAATTCAGAATGCAGCAGCACAACATTGATTACTGTTCAAGCACTCGATGACTTTGGTACCTTGATAACATCAAGATTGAAAAGATTTTTCCAGCGTGATTCTGGAAGCAAAGAGAGCGTCACCAACTGTTCTCCTAGCTGCTCTGGTGATTCATATTCTATCATCAGATCATTTGCTTCCTCCTCATCTTCTGAAGTTTCCAGTTCTAAAATCAAAAGAAAGTTTCCATATTATTTAATTATTTGGGGTCTTGAAATCCATTAAGAATGCAAGCAAAGCTTAATCAGTGATTGTACATCAAGTACAGGTTACAACATGAATTGAAAACTACCAAAGTGTGTTGTAATTACATTTGCTCCTATATAGCCTGTTACATTATATTTAGTGCAACAGAAAGCTTTATGGTTTGAAGTACCACTATGTGAGATATGGTTAAAATATAAGTTTCATTTCTGAAATGATCATCGTTCTTCAAACCTTGTGGTGGACAAGTTCCAGGAAGCATTACAATAGAAGGTTCAAAATCAGCAGGAAGTGGTCGGAGGGAAACAAGTCTATAAAGCGTGTTGTTGGACCTAAAAGCAAAGGAAAAGAGATGCTGTTAAATGCTGTATAGTGGTATCCATGGAGTGAAATGCATAAATATCACCATATCCCTATTCCTACATTAGTGATTTTGTAAAAAAAATGTTGGCAACGTTTTCTGTTTAGATTCTTTACATCTATCTTTTAAATGTTCTCAAATAAATCAATACTACTATGTGACTACCTATAACTAAAAGCTTTGTAAAATACTAGATATATGATGCACTTTATTCCCACATCAACATGTTTTAGCATTAACCAGAAAGAATATTTATTAGATCAAAACACTTAAGGCTATCATATTTCTGAGTTTGGGTCCATGGATAAAGCATCTCAAAAGAAAATGTTAACAAAAAATCCTTCACAAAATCACTAATGTAGAAGTGCAGATAGGGTAATCCACCACTGTATACCTATCAACCCAAATCTTTAGTTTAAAATGTGTATTGTATAATTTAAATGTGTATATGCATGTAAATGTATATAAAATTCACTCGTTTTCTTAAGTTTTTTTTATCATGTTTGACAATAACATTGATGTATTTGTTAATACCAATTCCGCCATTTTTCCTTAGTAATTTTACCTATTGTTGAACATCTCTATTAAATCTCCTGTTACCACATTTAGTGCATAATGCTAATTGGGATTTGAACATTCCATGTACATTACATCTTTCAAAATCCACGAGATAATTTTTTGTGACACTCATATGCAAAAATGTAATTAACTAAAACATTCACATGTTCAGATGAGACAATAAAATTATTTTTTTTAGAATCACACAGTAAGTAATAAATACTAGATGGGGTTGTCTTGGTGTAGAATTCCCACCTAACAATAAAGCATTTTTGTTGATATAAAGGTACACTTCACTTCCATCAGTGATTGTTAATGCAATATTGTTGTTCTGTAAAAAGTGCACACACCAGAGATAAATTCCCAAGTCATCTACGTGAGCTGAAGCCAAAAAGTCTCCAGTTGGGGACATGGTAATACTGACAGCTGCTGAGTCCACCGAAAAACAGTCAATCAAACTGTTGGAGAAAGAGAATAACATAGAAATCACTGGAAAATATTCAATACATTTTTTAAAAAATAATTTATACTGCTTTCACTGAAATGTTTTAGACTTTAACAAAGTAAGAATCAGTTTATTTTATTCCACTGGAATACAAGAAAACATGAAATTAGTCTTAAAATCAAATCAAAATGCAGCCCTCTTTTGCAACAAGTAATTTTACTATATCTATGTTAGTTATATCAAAAATCAGAAGATCAATCAAACTGAATATCAAACTCCCAAGCACAATAAATTAAATGCATGTCTAATACTACCAAGGGAAAAGCATTTTCAGCCATATCAGCAATTTTCATTTTAAAACAATGAGCGTGGCACAAAATGAAACACATTTTACTGTGTCAGCAAACTAGACTTTGATGGAAAAATGTTATCATAAAACCTTTTACTAGTTTACTTTGTTCAAACTAATATTCTTTCACTGCGATTGACAAATACGCTTTGCAGCACTTTTTTTCAAATTGAGATTATTTTAGAACAAAACGAGATTATTTATTTTATTTAATGCAAGAATTTCATCTTTTAAAGACTGAACAAACAATCTTTTAAACAAGATCAATGGGAATATTATCAATGAGTATCAAACTGCTGATTTTTAACATGGAAAATGATAATGTGGTATAATTACTTTAAATACGGTATCTTCAGGATACCAGGGATGAGAGACTTCAATTATGTGGATAGACTAGCGAAGCTGGGATTGTTCTTCTTAAAGCAGAGAAAGTTAATGATAGATTTAATAGAGATATTCAAAATTATGAGGGGTTTTGATAAGAGTAAATGTTTCCTCTGGCAAGTAGGTTGGTAATCAGAGGACACAGATTTAAGATAATTGGCTAAAGAACCAACATTCCAGAGTTGTTGCGAACTGGAATGCACTGCTTGAAAGGGTGGTGGAAGCAGATTCGATAGTAGCTTTCGAAAGGGGATTAGATAGATACTTGAAAAGGAAAAAATTACAGGCCTATGGGTAAGAGCGGGGGAGTGGGACTAGTTGGATAGCTATTTCAAAGAGGCGGCACAGGCACGATGGGCTAAATGGCCTCCTTCTGTGCTGTAAGTTTCTATAATTCATATGACTTCATAAAATTTGTTGCCCAAAATGAATGATGTTTAATCCACAGTAAGAATATGCATCTTTTCTGGTTATTTTAAGACTTTATTGTGGCTATAAGTCTATATCAGAAGTCGTAGAAAGCAAAACAGAAACTATGCCTGATCTAAGTCTCTAGCCCCACTCTATATGGACATATTGACTGCTGCTCCAGACCTGAGCTACCTATCTCTCTGATCATCATTTTTTTCTTTCTCCTTTAATTTGTTTTCTTCTTTACTCGCTCTTCAATTTTTTAAATTTCTTTTCACTTCCCTATCCAAGATTCTCAAAGTTAACCATTACTTTCTCAAATTCATCTCAAATTTAAAATGAATTGGCTACTTGTCTCAGCATTATTTGTAGGAAATTGCTTGAGAAATTAGCTGCCATGTTTACCTACCTAAAAAACATTTATTTGATTTCTAATTAAACTCATTCTGTTAAGCTCTTAAAAATGTCTATTTTTGTGAAAGGCACTAAATCCTTCAGATGAGACGTTAAACTGAGGCTCCATCTGCCTGTTTGGTTGGATGTTAAAGATCCCATGGCACTATTCGAAAAGAGAAGGAAGTTTCTCCCAGTGGCCTGGCCAACAATCCCCCAAATATAACTGGTCACACACTCCATGGCTGGTTGTGGGACACTGCTGTATGCAACTGGCTGCCATGGTTTATCCACAAAATACAGTCAATCCACTGTACAGTATATCCTGTGATGCGCTTTGAGAGGTCTCAACGACGTGATAAGGTGCTAGATCAAATGCAAGGATTATTATTATATCATTAAATAAAAGTAAGCTGTTTTAATTTCAATATATACAAGTGTGAATTTTTGGCTTAAGTTCAAAATATTGCACATTACCTTGTAGTGAGTTGTTTTTAAATAATTGTGGAAAAAATTGACAATATACTGACATTAAATACTGAACCTTAAATACTGAATGCAAAGAAACTTCACATCAGATTATTTGAACTGAAATTCAGCTTGTTTCAGAGAATACTGTTCAATATCTATAAACAAAATGATATTTAAGATCACTTTAGAAAAATCTTTTATTATTTAAAATAAAAGAATAAAATACACAGAAATAAGTACATCTTACATTTTTATTGTGCAAAATTCTGAAATTCTGTCTTGAAGGCATGTTCTGCATTTTAAATAGCTGAATTCAGCAGCAAAAACTCCCACTATTGATTTCCATTCAAATCACACCCGTTATCCTTAAATTATTTATTGCTACAGGGTATTCATGAAGCACTGAATCAATTTAATTAAGAAGCATTGAGTGATCTTGAAATCATTCTCATTATTGCTGAGTTTAGGCTAGATGTTGGTGACTGAAAATCATGGTGGTAGCAATTGTTCTGCCAAATAAGTAACAAATCCCCTGGGACAGATGAACTGTAATAATAATAATAATAATCCTTGCATTTGATATAGCGCTTTTCACGTGGGAGGACGTCCCAAAGCGCTTCACAGAACACACTGTAAAGTGAATTGACTGTATATTTGTGGGCGAACGCGGCAGCCAATTGCGCACAGCAATGTCCCACAAACAGTCGTAGATTGAAAAAGACCAATTTTTATTATTGTTTTTGGTGGGATTATTACTGTACTCCAGGGTACTTGGAGAGACTGGCAGGAGATTTGTGATGGACATTACAAAGGAGTAAATCATGACGGGAAGAAGCAGAGGTTATTCCCATAATTCAAGAAGGGCGACAAAACTAAACTTGATATTCCGAAGGACTAGAAGCAAACAGATTTTATTCCCATATTCAAGAAGGGTGACAAATCTAAACATGGCTGTTTATTATTGTTTATTAGCCTGACCTCAATAGTCAATTCCAAAAGATGTTTGGCAAAAAGTACTACATTTTTACATTTACATTTACACTGCTGAAAGAACTGTGGTCATGGGGTATCAAGAACAAACATGAATTGAGAATTAGTTGAAGGGAAGGAAGCAGAGGGTCTTTGGTAGGTGAGCTAAGTTAATATGGAAAGAGGTATTAAGTGTGGTACCTCAGAGGTCTATATCTGACCCCTTCTATTCCTCGTATATATTGATGACTTGGAATTGCAGACACAGTCTAAGATAGCTGAATTTCAGATGTCACAAGTTGGAATCAAAAAGAGGCAGCAAATATCCTCCAGAGAGCTTGATAGGATGTGCACACAGACTGATAACTGCCAAATGAAGTTTTTAATACTGATAAATGCAAAGTACTGTATAAAAGACCCAAGAATAGGAAACACAAATACTCCATGGATGGAGCTGAGTTTGCCAGGGGAAAGCTAAAGGAGATCTAGGAGTGCAAATTTACTTGTCTTTCATTATGTCAAATGCAGGCAACAAAAAACAAGGCAAACAGGATATTGGACCATATTACTAAATTAGTTGAGTTTAGATCCCGAAATCATACTCAGGCTATACAATCGTCTGGTTAGATTACACCTTGAATACTAAATAGCACAACAAAAGGGGGCCCAGGCTGTAGAAGCAGTATAGAGGAGAGCAACGAGGATGTTCCCCAGTGTTAGAGAAATGAGCTACAAGCTGGGCTGATAGAAAAGTGTGGCTGCAATTTTCCGCGGCACCCTCTACAAACCCCCTCCGCAACAAATGAGTAAAATCAGTGTGCTTGGGGCCCCAGGCCTCTGCGTCCTGCTGCCGGCTGTTTACTCAATGCTGATACTGTGGGCGGAGCTGCTCGACACACATGTGTGATGTGGCACGAGCAGGAAATAGGCTTTGCTCACCCCGAGACCCTCCTGTTATGATCGTCTATGGGTCTCTCTCTCCTCTGTATGTGTGTGTGTTTGTCTCTGTATGGGTGTGTGTGTGTATCTCTTCTATGTGTGTGTGTGTTTATGAGTGTCTGTGTGTGAGTGTGTCTCTTCTCCTCTGTATATAAGTGTGTGTCTCTCTGTATCTGCTTGTGTTTATGTCTGTCTGTGTCTTTGAGTGTGCCTGTCTGTGTCATTGAGTGTGTCTCTTTCTGCATTCGTGACTGTTTATCCCTCTATGTCTGAATGTGGGTGTCTCTGTTTGTGTCTCTCTGCATCTGTGAGTTTGTATTTTTCTGTCTTGTGAGTGTGTGTCTCTCTGCACCCATCAGTGTGTCTCTCTTCTTCCGCGAGTGTATAGGTCTCTATGTCTGTGAGTGTGTGTCTTTCTGTATCTCCCTGTGTCTGTGAGTGTGTGTCTCTGTCTGTGTGTGGTGGCAGCCCCCAAGAGGCAGGAGGTGGTGACCTCCTGGAGCTCTGCAAGCAGGACACCACCTGGTGTTTGGTGGATCTCCAGTAGGCACCCCGTTTTTGTTAATGAAATCATTAATAATTTGTTTTGCAACAATCTAATATGTTTTATTTCTTCATGTTTAATTTTATCAATAAAGTGAAAAAATGTAGATTGGTAGTAAAATGTACCTCAATAGCACCAATCAACTCCCCGCAACTTTGGGCAAATATTTCCACAATTTTCTATTGGCCCTGGCTATAAGCAATGATTAGACAAGTTAGGGCTCTTCAATCTTGAGAGGTGACTCAGTGGGGACCTTGTAGAGTGTATTAACAGTAGAAAAAGAGGACGCATGTTTAGAGTTGTAAAGGGCAATTTCAGGAGATACCAAAAAGGTTTTCTTTATGCAGAGGATAATCAACGACTGGAACAGGTTGCCACAAAAGGTGGCAGAGGGCAGGACACTAAGCTCATTTAAGAAGCTTAATGTAATGATAAGAGGATGGTAGGTTGGGTATTCTTGAGGGATGAGATTGGAGGGGCTGAACAGCATTCTTTATCCAGACTGATTTAGTGATCTTGAATATATGACAGAAACTCAGAGAAGACAAAGCTGTGCTCTTGAGAACACTGTTTCAGAAGCGATGCAATTTATTATTATTAAGTCGAATTTGATATAGTGCCTTATAATATCATGAAAACATCTTTGCAGGATTTTATTGTGTAGTGACTATGTATTTGTAGGCAACCTGCAGCTAATTTGCACACAGTAATGTCTCACAAACGGTCATGCAGTGAATGACTAATTTTATCCAAAGGACTGTTGAACAGGACACCAAGAGAAACTTACTTTTTTTTCTTGAAAGTTCCATGGGATCTTTAACATGTAGGACTTCAATTTATTGTCTCACCTGAAGGACCCACCTCAAACAATGCAGTGCTGCTTAAACAATGCATTGGAGTGTCAGCCTAGACTATGAACTTAAACACACCTGCTCAGTCTAAATGTGGTGGATATGAATTGGTGGGTTCACTCGATTGAAAGGTTTTGAGACTTTAGAGTTTTTTTTAATGCAAATCATTCTCAAAACATCAAATTTTGTATACGTTTCAAACTGAAAGCAATGTGAAATAGCCCAAAACTGGCTTCTCTTTCTGTATTCCTACACTGCCAGGAATGAAGCCACTTCACTCCTGGCAATATAACCAATGTCTAGAAATAAAAATTTATACCTGAGGTGAATATAAATGTAATTCACTACTGCAGCATAAAATACATTATTTCAAATACAACATACTTTGCTTAAAAACTATTTCATTTAAAGGCAATCAGTGAAATAAAAAACACAAAATAATATCTGTGCTTTCTTACAAGATTATTGCTAAGTAAACTCAGACTTACCACCCTGAAGGAAGATCCCAGGTCCTAATGCTACAGTCCATTGAAGCAGTAATTAACCAACGACCATCAGGACTGAAGGCCTTGACAATGAAATAAATTGGATAAATTATTTGCTACCTCTTGACATACTTAAAAATAGGGAATTTAGTCAGTTTTGTGTTATATTGCATTTAATTCCTTAAAAAGAATCCCGTTACTTTTTCATGTATGAAATTCCGCTAGTGAGTAAAGTTTTGCCAGACGACTTTAGCATGAACTTGGTATTGGGAAATCTCATTGTAAAATCTCATTGCAAGTGCAAATAGGCAAAGATGGTAACTTTACAAATACTAAGAATTTTAATTCCTAGTAGCTGTTATACTATAAACACAGATTTTCATGTTAATATGGTAACACATACAAATTAGTTAATATAATTTATAACATTCCATCATAAATTTTACACCTCAATTATACCAGAGAGAATAGAATTGAAGGATATCACAAAAAAGGGGATATGGGACTAGGGTTGGGTCTAGGAATAGGCATATGTGTGGAGTATAAACACTAGATGGGCTGAATGGTCTGTTTCTGAACTGTACCATCTATGATCTATGAAACAACAACAATTGCATTTATATAGCAGCTTTCATAAAAGCTGCTATATAAATTGGGATGTCAGAATATCCCAAGTCGGAACATCCCAAGGCGCTAGACAGTCAAATGTTTGCACCAGAGCTGGGGATTGGAATCAAGAGGGGTGGGGGCCAAAGGGGATGGGGGTAGGATGACCCAAGGCACGGTCAAAGAGGAAGATCTTGAGACGGGCCTTGAAGAGGTAAGGGAGGGGGCAAGGCAAAGGGGTTTCAGTGGAGCAGAAAGAATGAAGACCCAACTACCAATGGTGAGGCAGCCAGGGCGGGTACGTGGAGAAGGCCACTACTCGCCAAGCAGAGGGAGCAGGAAGATAGGTAAGGTGTTAGTAGGATGAGAGCTAAGTACTGTGGGCATCCCGGAAATCGGAATGGAGAGGTTGGTACAGGGAGTGGCAGGAGAGGGAACAGTGAAGCTGGGAAGCAACAACTTGTTCCAGGACTTTGCAAAGAAATGGAAGGATGAAGATGGGATGGTAGTTAAGAGAACAGAGATGGGTCAAGGGAAGGTTTATTGAGGGTGAGTGAAACGAGAATAACTGATGTGCAAAATGCTGAAAATATCTTGTTATTCAAATGTTCAAAATGGAGTCACAAAAAATGAAAATCTAAGGGAAATGAATCACAAGTTTGAATTTCATGAAAATCAAAACAGATCTAGAGTAGAAACTGGATTGCACATGTTGTCAATTTTGTGAAAGAATAGTTTGTTAGTGTTTCTTTAAAATAGTTTCTATAACAGCAAAAAAATAATAAATGTTCTGATGAAAAATACGACTTAAGAGATACATTTGAGTACTAATTGTGGAGAAACTCTTCATTATGTATGAAAACCATAATTGTTGGAAAGCACTCTTATTTTGCTAGCACTTGCCACAGTGTAGAAAGAGTAGGCACAGAACTCGATCTTGGATATTAGACCTGTGGTTTTCATACATAATGAAGAGTTTCTCCACAATTAGTACTCAAATATATCTCTAAGTTGTATTTTTCATCAGAACTTTTTTTTACTGTTATAGAAACTGTACTTTAAAAGAAACGCTAACAGACTATTCTTTCACAAAATTGACAACTGGATTTGTGTTTTTAAGCCAGTTTTGTACTTCCGAATTTAAATATTGGCACAGAAACAGCAAAGCAACGCTGAAAGGGTGAAAAAATAATGAGCGGTTATATTTATATGTTCTGCTACCAAAAGGGTAGAGAGTCAACCCAATTTCACCTTCTATACCATTCTTAAACTAGACACGAGACATACGCGAGAATGGTCCATTGTGCCATTTATATTCATATAAAGTGTAGAATATCAAGCCAAATTTGTAGAAAGTCTCAATATGCACATATGAAACATAATCAGTTTAACAATCTACAATTATTTTGTCATTCTAGCTGTTGATGTATAACATCAGTGTTTCAATAACCTTTCTTTTATTCTTACACATCAATGTTTGACTGAGACATTTTCAAATTAACCCCTCTTTCCTCTTATGCACATGTACCTACACACAAAAAATGTAATGCAAGATGTAGAAAAGGCCAATAATTGCACTTCTCAGTAACATATCATACCATATCATTTATTTGGCCTTGATGTCCAGAAAACCTTCTCACAATTTTTCTTGTTTCGGTATCGAAGACTGTTATGGTGAAATCATCTGCAGCAACAGCTAGCATGCCACTGATGAAAATAATGCACATGTAATTGATACATTCCTAAACTGCAGATCAGAAATACTGTAAAATGGATGTAAACTGTAGCATCCTGTGCACACTTGGTGAGAATAGTGCAAAACACATTTTTAACTTTTTTTTATATATCTCTTACAGATATAGTTCTACCTTTGTTATAATCTTACTGCTCACTAGATTACAAATGTAATTTTTGACATATTGATGAACAAATCAATATGTTATCATAGATGCATACAGGGTCAACACACCATAATTGTTGTAAACTGATTAGATTGCTATAATCCTGAATTTAATTTTAAATAGGTGACAGTAGCATTAAACTCTGTAATGAACTAATGACTCAGTGTTTCTATTACAAAAATACGTAATGCTAAGGTAACTTTAGCATGTGTTTTGTTAATCGCATGTCACAAGATTTATATTATATTGACTTGAATCCAACATTTCTCCCATTGTCTCACTCCAATATAAATTGGATATAAAATTAAAGTGCAAACTTTACTGCCGTTAACCATCCTATCTGCCCCACCATTGGCAGTCTTTCAGCCTCTCTGCCCCTGCTTTCTGGAACTCAATCCTGGACTCACTATGACTCACGCCTTCCCTTGCCTGCTTCACGCTCCGCCTCAAACCTTCCTCTTTGACTAAGTCTCCCCACCCACACAGCTCCCATCCCTAGCTCAGGTGCAAATCCTGGACTGTCCAAAGCCTTGAGATATCCTCCAGATACATAGGGCTCTATATAAATGTAAATTGGTTATTGTTTACAATCTGAATTTATTCCAGTATAGTATCACAAAACCAAGATATTATTTTTGAAAATTGCCTAAATTCATTCTCAACCCACTTTAATGAGCAGACTTGTAAAATAATCGAAAGGTTAAATTTTCTTCCTGAAAAACAAAATTAATGGCAACTATTTTGGGGGTTCAGATGAAAAATAATTAAAATCACCTTTTCATTTACCTTTAATTGTAAAGGACAAATATTTCTTACCTGTCTCTGTGCAGCAATATGCTTGCTGGTGATGCATCTAGCTTAATGTTCTGTACCAATTCCTTGGACTTGAATTTCCAAAACTTAATTTGTTTATCCCCACCAGCACTAACTGTAAGTTGATTCAGTCCATCAACAGCAACTCCTCGAATTTGGGCTTCGTGAGCTTAGTAAGTAAGTAAAGCACTTGTAAATGATCATATTTAACAAAGCCACAGTATTACATAACAAATTACCCGCTCATCACATTTAGAAAGAATATTGTTTATATTAATAATATGGGAGATCTCTGACTCTTTCTTTCTCTCCTTTTGTGGGACATTGCTGTAAGCAATTGTGCTGCCACGTTTGCCTACAAATACATAACATCCACTTATAATAACATCCACTTTTGATATATCAAATGCAATTATTATTATTATTATTATTATTGATATGGCGCTTTTCACATCTTCTAGACATCTCAAAGCGCTTCACAGAATATGCTGTAAAGTGAACTGAGCGTATATTTGTGGGCGAAATATCACAGTACTTCTGTCTTTCTTTGTTCCCCTTTCTCTCTCTCCCTTTTTCTTTTTGGTTGGATATTGCTGTGCGCAATTGTGCTGCCGTGTTTGCTTACAAATACATAGTCATTCCATTTCACAGTAACTCCTGTTAAGCGCGTTGAGACGTTCTTCCGACGTGATCAAGGGCTATACCAAGTTCAAGGATTATTATATTATAATGAGATGAATGAATTGTGAGAAGAACTATAAGAAGAACACAGCAAAAATATAAAAATAGCATGTCAGCAATAATAGAACAGTTAAAGTTTTGATAGGACCATTTAAGGGAGAAGGGGTAAGCTCACAGCAGATAATAAGGAAATGGTGGAAATACTAGATGAATACTTTGCCTCAGTTTTCACAAAGGAAGCTGATAAGAAAATTTAGTAAGAGCAGAAGGGGCAGGGTGTAAAATCACAACAGTTGAGATAGGGAGAAGGGAAGGATTTAATACATTACACAAGGATAGAGAGGACAAAGCACCTGGCACAGATGGACTACACCCAAGGATCTTTCAAAGAAACTCGGGAGGAGATAGCTGAGTCTCTATATATTTAAGAATTCTGTAGAGAAAGGAATTGTGCCAGAGGTCTGGAGAATAGCCAATGTAATACCTATTTTTAAAAAGGAATAGAGCTAATACAGGAAACAGACACACACGTACACACACATACTGTGTTTTCGCTAACTTTTCCTTCCCATTCCTCAGTCGCCCCCTCCCTCAACCTAAGGCTCACTTCAGCTGTATGAAGTGGTTTGAGATGTCCTCTGGATGTGATACACGATATATATCAGTGTAAATTGTGTTGTTGTTGAGTACTTATGACAATAACCAAGCATATTGTAATCTTAAAAAAAGTAATGTTGCACTTTTGACTTTGGTTACAATAGCTTGTTCCTATCCCTGCACATTTTTCTTTCTCATTTAGGTAGCTCTGTGTATATATGTTGTTTGATGGTACATTGATATACTCATATATATTAATTTACACACATGACCACTGGCCATTAGCTACTGATTGTAGTCTCAAAATTCACCCTCGCTCCCTATGTTGGGCGTTGTTTTTGATGCGTTTACATTGTATTTGGAAAATAAAAATAAACAATTTAAAATGACAAACATATTTTCAATTGCCATAATCTTGTATGAATTTTAAAACAAAGGATTCTAAATTTGAACACAGCCATAGAATGTTTCATACAATATATATTTCAACATTTGAAATAAATTTCAAAACTATTAGATACCTATATACATGCTTGTGTAGAATCTTTGTTCAGTGATTAAGAAACTGATCAGCATCAGACAACAACAATAACTTGGATTTATATAGCGCCCTCCATGCCAGACGGCGTCTCAGAGCACTTCACAGTAACGGATCCCGGGGCCGAGCCAGAGGGAGAGGAAGGAAGGTGACCAAAGGCGCGGTCGAAAAGAAAGTTCTTTAGCCAAGACCTAAAAGTGGGAAGAGAGGGCGCGAGACGAAAGGAGTGAGGAAGGGAGTTCCAGAGCCTCGGGGCATAGTGGCTGAAGGCACGGTCGCTGATAGTGGAGCGGAGGACTCGGGGCCGAGGAGGAGGCCAGACCCGCTGGAATGAAGGCAACGGGTACTGTTGTGAGGAGAGAGGTCAGAGAGGTAGGGGGGTGCAGAGGAGTGCGGGGACTTGAATACAAGAGTGAAGATCTTGAAGTCGATCCTCTCTGGGACAGGCAGCCAGTGCAGTCTGGCAAGGACACAAATTTCTTGCAGTATCCTGGTATCAATGCCACAAGAGCATTTTTCATTAAGTAATAGTTAAAAGGACCTCTAGTAGCCGAATTAAATACTTCTGATTTTCACTTCTCAAATTCACTTTTGCTGGTACAAATTGGTGATTCCTCTCTCCTTCAGGATCCCACAAACGAGTTTACTCCAATCCTTAGAAATTCTGGGTCAACAGAGCAAAACTGCTCCTAAATTGTTTGTAATTAGAAATTTGACTAAAACAGACCACAGAGATGCCTGATGTGGAAAATGTCACACTTCTGCAGAAGGAAGAGGGCAATATAGAGATAGCTTTATCAATCAGTGCTTTTGATTAATTTACAGTAACAACTTGCATTTATGTAGCGCCCTTCATGTTGGACTTAGATGAAGGACTTATCCTTGTTAAGTCTACAAAACCTAAGAAATAAATTTCATTGTGGAAATTTGTATTGAAAAAGGTAAATTATGCAGGATTTTTTTTTGGAAAAATAATCTTCCTTTTTTTTTTATTTTACAGCATAAATGAAATGTTAAGAGACAATGATATATGGACAAAACATTTTTAGTGTCAGGACACGAGGGTCTCTACTTTCCTCACAAACTTAGACAGAAGCCCTACCATCTGAGTTTTGGCAAGAGTTTTGAATTCAGTCTTCATTTGAAAGCATTTTTTTCATTATGGGTATAATTGTGGGTACTGCAGAAATCAGACTCCAAATCAAGCCTGAATTCATGATGCTGCTAATTAAAATTCCAACTGCACATGCTAAAAATAATTCTTGCAAAACATGCTTTGTCTTTCAGCAGGTCAAGCGCTCTGAGACTCCGTCCGGCGTGGAGGGCTCTATATAAATCCAAGTTGTCGTCATTGGAACAGAACACATTAAATATATTACATTGGTCATTGGGGAATACGTAAACACACAATAGAAACTGGGGAATACTCATTATTTTATAGAATAGAAACAGGAACACTCATATTATACTACTCACTAGGGAATACACACATCTCTCAAATGATAGAGCCCTGGGGAATGCAGCAAATGACCATGTAGTATAACAGGAGAAGCCATTAGATAAAACAAAGTGGAGATGTTGGGACAGTAAAAGTAGAACCAGGAAAGTGCAGAGCCTTGGAAGTGAATCAAAGAGAGACACACAATTTGAAAGATTAACTATTTTTTGGGGGGACACTAATATGATAATGCTCCTCAATTTTATTCTATGATTCATAATTCTATTCGCAAACTTATGTCAAACCACCCAAAATAATTTTAAAATAATTTCATATTTCATCTTCTACTTACAGCAACAGAAGATGCTTACCTTTTTCTTCACCATAATGTCCTCTGTGAATACCCGATTGCAGGTTATACAAATCGAGATGGCCTGAAGAAAGGCCAACAATGGCAAAATTTCCACAACTTGTTATATCCACAGCCTAAGAATGCAACAACATTTTTCAAAAAAATACAATTTACGATCAGCTTAAAAAAATCACATGGCAACATATTCCTGATAACAAATACTCCAAAAAAGCATATCAGCATATTGAAAGGCAAAGGCATATACAAAATGTCTAAAGCAACTTTGATTATTGGTTAGTTATTTTCAGTCCACTTTCTTATCTATCTTTTATTAGTTCTATGTCTATCAGAATTTCTCATAAATGATTAAACTGTTTGCTTCCTCTCTCCCTCCCTTCTTATTGCTGTATTATTCACCAGGATACAGTAGTTTTTAAAGTAGTAATGAGGGAGGATTGGGAGTTACCACCATATCCACTCTACAGAAGTAAACCAGTACCAGACGGAGAAGTTCTACAGAAGAGATTTACATTTCAAATATTTAATGCAATTACATTATTATTTTTTGCCAGTATGGACTGTGCTATGACGTACACTCAGAGTATCCTACCCTCTGGTGTAGGAAATAAAAAGGTTACATTATTATAGCAGGGAACACTCTGTAGAAATTCATGACAAGGGCATTATCTTAAATATTCCATTAAATCTAAATCTATGTTGGCAAACAACCACAAGTGAATAATAATAATCCTTGCATTTGATATTACGCCGATATTATCACGTCACTGAGATGTCTCAAAGCGCTTCATAGAATATACTGTAAAGTGAATTGACTGCATATTTTGTGGGCGAAATGCGGCAGCCAATTGGACACAGCAGTGTCCCACAAACAGTCGTGGATTGAAGTGACCAATTTATTATTTTATTTGGAAAAAATTATTACCCCGGAAAGGCGGTCCGCCAAACGACTAACAACAGGGTTCCTACTTACTGCTAGGTAAACAGAGGCGTGTGCAGTAAACAAACTTGCCTAACATTTCGGCCTGTCGGGAATTGAACCCAGATCTCTTGCTTGCGAGGCAAGTGCTCTAACCACTGAGGTACAAGACTCTACGAATAAGTATTTTTGTTAACAAGTCATCACAGTCTCACTGAAAATGCATATTTATTTAGAATGCTTTCAATCTAAGAAAGAAAATCTTTCTTTTTGTAATGTATCTTTAACTTATTCATTACAATGCAATTATTATTAATAAATGATAGCAGTAACATAAAGATAAACTTGAAAAGTTAACACACTAGGAATAAACAGTAAGATTCTACACACTGTAGCATGTAAATTCAGGGTGAGATCTTTATGAAATTTCATAGGCTCAAATTTGTGCATTCCCATTGAGGATTTTTGGTAATTCCATGTTGTACTGGTAAGATATCCTCGATGGCAGGCAATTATTCCATCCCAATCACTCTGACGTGCGGTCTCTGCCATTCAAACAAAAAATTTAATCAGTCTTGGCAAAAACAGACCCATAAAGTACAATCCAAAGTGAAAAGCTAAAGCTTCAGAAACATACTAGAATTTTACTTTTTGTATTCTTAGATTCACAGAATATTACAGCATGGCAATAGGCCTTCCAGTCCATTGAGTCTACACTACTTTTGTCTCCACATGAACCACCAAATCTAATCCTAATTTCCCGATGCCCATTATTAATGTTCCTCCTCTTCAAGCATCTAATTCCTCTTTAACAAAAGGTTTGAGTTTTTTTCTGAGTTGATACTATGTTCACCTATATCTACAATCTTAGGAAAAATACACTTAAATTTTCCAGATGTTTACACAAAATATAAATTTATAAAACTAGGATTTAGGAGATGTACAAATACCTGAGGCAAATGTAGTGATAGGAGGTAAATTCATTTCCGTATACCGCAGTCCTTTCTTTTTGGATATCTTTTTGTTTATGGAACCTTAAACAAAAATAATCCATATTAGTAATTGCCAAACCAACCCTTGACGGTGATGGTGGGGGCAAAGAGAGAAGGACAAAGAAGGAAGTACCGATAACTTATTATTTTAGTAAATTAAATAGGCAAAGTGAATTCAATTGACTGCTATTCCAAGCCATTTTCTCTTGATTCATCTTTAAATCTTGCAGTGTTATTCCCTGTATGAGAAGGCAAGAATTTCACATGCTCTTTTTCCCATTTTTGATTTTTAAGCAGATGATACGAATTTAAGGTTGTTGGTGCAAGTTCTCTGAAATTTCTTCTTCCCTACAACATCCCAGCACGCTGGAAGGGATGAAAAACAATAGTCGAAGAGGACAGGGAAAGATGTTGTGGACACAAACTTATTTACGACTATTTTATACCACAGCACAAGGGAAAAATATCACTGTGCCACTGTGTTGGTGAACTGTTCTCAAAGAAATTGTTCTCCAGTAAATACTAAGATCAAATCTGCACAAGAATTCTATGGGTTATTCATAGATGAAAATAATAAAACTTTGTTGCTCATTTATTGCTCAATTACAATTTTTTGATTTTAATTAAATAACAGCACTGCACTTTATGAATTGAAAGTCCCAACAGGAGACTGGAACCCACAATTTTCCGATTCAGAGGTGAGAGTGCTACCAGTAAAGCCAAGCTGACATCTCCGATAATGCAGGATGGCTCCTCCAATAATGCATTGTTCCTCCAGCACTGCATATAATTATAATAATCCTTGCAGTTGATAGAGCGCCTTATCAAGTCTTCAAGACGTCTTAAAGTGCTTTACAGAATATACTGTATATATACTGATGGCCTTAGTCCACCTATAAGAGATGGTTTTCTACTTTGTGCTAAATTTCAGAATTGAACCGAACAGTGGAGTAAGATTGGCAAAGTTCTTGCCAATAGAAGAAGCCACACAATTAAATTTTCCTTTCAAGAACTGCCAAAATTCTTTAACATCATGTTATGTGATCTTCCAATGGTTTTCTTTGTGCTGTAATCAATTAAACATGTCTCAATTACAAAATTATTTTCCTGAAAATCATAAGACCCCTTGTGTTCAAAGGATAATATGACCTATGAATCAGAGTTAGAATATGTATTACTATGATAATTCAGTCTAGACGATAATTATCACCATCTAATTATGTAAACTTTTTTTTTGCCAGACAGTGATATATCAAAGGTAATCTATGCAGTTATAATACTAATAATAATCCTTGCATTTGATATAGCACTTTTCACGTCTTCTAGACGTCTCAAAGCGCTTCACAGAATATGCTGTAAAGTGAATTGACTATATTTGTGGCAAAAATGTCTCAATTACAAAATTATTTTCCTGAAAATGACAAAACCCCTCGCGTTCAAAGGATAAAATGACCTATGAATCAGAGTTAGAATATGTATTACTATAATTCACTCTAGACAATCTTAATTGTCTAGTCTAGACTTTCTAAGGATGAAGCAACTCCACTCCATTCCAGACCAAACTACTTTGTGAATTTTTTCACACTAATTATCACCATCTAATTCTGTAAACTTCTTTTTGCCAGACAGTGATATCAATGGCAAGCTATGCAGTTATAATAATAATAATCCTTGCATTTGATATTGCGCTTTTCACGTCTTCTAGACGTCTCAAAGCACTTCATAGAATATGCTCTAAAGTGAATTGACTGTATATTTGTGGGCAAAACGCAGCAGCCAATTGCGCACAGCAGTGTCCCACAAACAGTCGTGGATTGAAAATGACCAATTTTATTATTGTTTTGTTTTGGAGGGATTATTATCAGGCGTGTGGAGTGGAATTTACGTGTAGGTGGGATGCATAGAAATCTCGGCTTGGTTTGGATACTCTTAAGCATGGTGATGCTTTTCAAATCCCTTCATTCCCTGGCACCTCTCTACATCTTTGACCTCCTCACTCCCCAATCTGCCACCTGGCAATTCCGCTCGACTGGCAAGTTTCCTTACTCCATAGGCCTGATGTTAATCCCTCAAGAAAACAATAATAATAAATTGGTCATTTCAATCCACGACTGTTTGTGGGACACTGCTGTGTGCAATTGGCTGCCACAAATATACAGTCAATCCACTTTACACTATATTATGTGAAGCACTTTGAGATGTCTAAAAGACGTGAAAAACGCTATATCAAATGCAAGGATTATTATTAAATAAAACGTATCATCTGCATTATATTTTTACAACTCTTACCATGTCCCAAACTCTTGTTAAAACGCTCGTGAACAGTGGAAAATGATTGCAGTGTTCCATCATGTCCTACATAAACACAAACAAAATGAATAGTATCATTTATGCATTCTAAGTAAAATTGGTTTTCCATAGTTGTAAGTAAAGTAAATGTTCCTTAGTTGTAAAAATAAGGAAATTTATATATATATATATTTCAAACGGAATGCAGACCACTGGACAATGCAACAGTCAGTCCATTTGAAACGAGCAAGGACTACTTTATTGCATTAATGTCTTCCTGTGTGGCACAGGTTCGACTCCAGTTCTCTATCTCATCTGTGAATCTGTGGACCATCAAGCATAGCCTAGGTTCTTCTAGATCAGGAAGGAAAAAGGGCTATTTGATCAGCCTAACTGAAAAATTAGACCAGTATTGCATGCATCAAAGCTTATTTAAAAAAGTAACATATCCAGGGGAACGGCCCTAAAAGGAAGGCTGTTAACAATAAAGAAAGACACCAGCCCAATTTTTAGGAGGTTTTTCAGTGGCCATTTTGGAACCTAGGCTGACCTTTACCATGTTGCTTCAAAAGATAATTACTTAACTCAATATCCTTTGAAGAGGCATCTGAAAGTCTATGCTCTGCAATTTATTTCCGCAAATTTCAATTTGAAGTAAAGGTGCCTTGCCTTGTGATCAGGGTTTCAGTCCCTCAAACATGTATATTTTGTATCCAGTTTACATCCCTTATTCTTTGAATTAATTATTCATGCCTTGGGAAAACAGATAAAACTAATGGCAGAAAAGGAGAAAGTTCTGCTCAGATGAAGCTTACTTAGGTCACTTTACATAAATAGATTACAAATAGTTATTTCAATGCCATAAAATCTGACAACTAAGGAACATTTAATAAGATTGCCTCAGAAAAAAAGTTTTTACCAGAACTAAGAATATGTTGTCCATCAGAACCATGATACTTTATTTTGGTTGGAGGAGCACTGTGCCCTATTCTGAATCGCAAAAGGCGACCTCCACCACCTGGCGCATCAAATATCCAGACCTGTTCATGAGAAGACACACAATTTAGCAATTAACAAACGAAAATTCCCTGACTAGTACGAGGGAAAGAGAGGTAAGGGCAGGTAATGTGATTAAAATGGGCAGGCACCGTTTTTGTGTGATGGAAAGGAAGGCTCAGTTAAACATTTCATCATAAAGGTGGCATCTCCAACAATACAATGCTCTTACAGCACTGCACTGGAGTGTCAAGATACTCAAATCATGGCCTGATATGGAACTAAATCCAAAAGCATGCTACCAACTGAGCTAAGACAACTAGATAATAGCAAACCTTACATTTTGTATTACATCTTTCATATTGGGGGGCAATCTCAAAGCACTTTACAGGATTTACTACATAAAGTATTGTGACTGTGTATTTTATAGGCAAACTCAGCAGCTAATTTTCACCCAACAATGTACCACAGACACCATGAAGTTAATGACCAATTGTATCTGGAGGATTGTTGTCCAGGACACTGGGGAAATTCTCTTCCGTTTCGAATAGTACATTGGGATCTTTAACATCCACCTGAACATGAGGACAGGAATTTGGTTCTCACCCACAAAATATAGTCATATCACTTTACCGAACATCCTATGAAGTGCTTTGAGATATCTCAACAATTTAATGAGTTAATACAAAGGCAAGGATTATTACACACAGTATTATAAATTATCAGTAAAATATTTGCCAGAGAAAAAACCTATAGCACCACCCAGTGGCAAGAGTAAAGCACTGAACCAAGAGAGCATCAGCAACCACCAAAACTTCAATCTTGACACTTTTATAATTAATCATAGAATCATAGAGCACAAAAAGATGCCATTTGGCCCATCGAGTTTGTGCCGGCTCTTTGAATAGAGCAATTAATGTCAGTCCCACTCCCCAGCCCTTTCCCCATAACCCTGCAAACCCGTCCTCCTCAAATACCCGTCCACCGCGTTTTTAAAAGTAGTTATCGAATCGGCCTCGACCACCCTTGCAGGCAATGCGTTCCAGAAACTCTTGAAATCTTGAAACTCTTCTGGTCATCCAAAGATATAATTAGTCCTAAATCAGTGGAATTATTCACACATTCAGCAGCATATATTTATATTTTATATATTATCAACTGATAAACAAAGCCAAATAAACCTAAAGTAATTCCAAAAATGTGCAAAAAAGAACTTCAGATGAATAGAGCAATTAATGTCAGTCCCACTCCCCAGCCCTTTCCCCATAACCCTCTAACCCATTTGAGGTCACCCTTCCAAGCGGTTTCTTAAGACGCCTATTGTCTTCAAAGGAAACCCATTCCAACTGTCTTTTTCTAGGTAAAAGAAATGTTTCCTGATGTCTATCCAAAAATTGAGCTTCACGATTCTGAACCAGCTCCCTTGTCCTGCGGACTCAGTGAATTTGAAAGCATTGTTCTGGGTTTACTTTATCCATTTAGGATCCTTTATATCTCTAAAAGATTCTCTCTGAAATATCTATTTTCAAAGCTAAAAAATACAAGCTTATCTAGTAACTTTCCATGCTTTATTCCACTAACAATGGAGATCAACTTTGCTGTTCTCCTCAGCATTTTCTCTGGGACCTTGGCAGCCAACCCACTGTGTCACAGTAACTGCACTCACTACTCTTGGAGCAGACTAAATTTTCCGAAAATCTGGCCTCAACTGAAGCCAATATTCCGTATGCCTTGTTTATTTCTATTTTATATTGTTTGAAGATGGTCAACTAACACCCTTGTTCAATTCCCCCCTTTCTAAGCTCTAGTTTAACCTTGGAATGTCTTCTATTTTTTATATCTGGTACGCAGTACCTTCGATTATTAAGTATTGACTTTAATTTATCAGTGATCAACCAAGTTATATACTCTATCAATTTCTCCTTGTAAGATCCTGATTGCCTCCTCTGATTTCAGTCTTCCCCCACTATCTGCACTGTTAATTATCTCTGCTAACAATCTTGCAAAAAGCATTTTTGTCTTTGGCTGTAAAGGAGATCTGTAAAACTGGTAATACTGGGCAGGTCATGCAGCATCTATGGAAAGAGGAAAGTGAGTTAATGTTTCAGGTCGATGACCTTTCGGTAGAAGGTCTTCATTCTGAAGAAAGGTTGTTGACCTGAAACGTTAACTCACTTTCCTCTCTCCATAGATGCCACCTGACCTGCTGAGTTCCCAGCGACTTCTATTTTTATTTCAGATTTCCAGCATCTGCAGTATTTGGTAAAATACTGTAAAACTGTGTTCATCCAGTGAATATTTGTGAAATGCTGCTTTGACTTCCAAATTGATGGTATAAGAAGGCAAAATAGAAAAAACATAAATGACACTTATATACATTGGGAGATCTCAAACTATTTCCCGCAGCTGACTGGACCCAAAGTGGGGAGGGGAGCTGAGAAATGGGAGGGAGGAGGAAAGGTGGCTGAAAGTGTAGTTGAAGAAAAATGGTAAAAATAGAATAAGTTAAAAAGTTATAGTTAGAAAAGGGACAGAAAATAATAGAAGAAAAACATCTGTATATATATATATTAAAAAAATCAAATTCAAGTAGACTTGTATTTACATTTGCTCCTTTACATTATGTTTAAATTAAGTCTTAGATGAGAACTAACTTTCTCCAGCTGAATGTTGTCAAAATAGAGGATCTCCTGCTTGGCTCCCATCAGCGCCTTATCACCTTAGGTGTTGACGGCATCAATCCACACTTCACCTCACTGAGCCAATGTGGAACCTTGGTGTCTTATTCAATTCTCAACTTTAAATCCCATATCGGTATTTTGACCTGTTCAGCTTTCCCTCACCTCCACAACATCAAATTACAAAGATGTGGATGAGAGCTTCAACTGCACTGGGAGTGAGCTAGAGGCGAGGTGGCCGATGTTGCGGAACTGGGAGAAATCTTCTGCATCTGCACCATTCAACTTTACACTCGGCCTTTGCAACTGAGCCAATTATTGGAGAAGCTCACGTTACATAGTTAATGATTTTCACTGAACTTAAACTTTTGGTAGCAAACAATGTATTTTAAACATGGATTGACAATATGTATATCCTACCCGGATTGCATTATCAGCACCAGTGGTGATTAGAAGTGGTTCACCATGAACAAATGTGAGTCCAGAAACTGCAGTCGTATGGGTATCCCTCATCTGACCAATCAACTTCTTCTCTTCCAAATCCCATAGTCCAATGTGGCCCACAGGACTCCCGGCAGCCATCACTGGGTTGCCATCTTAAAACATAAAAGAAATGTAAGATGCAGTAGTATGTAGTACAAGAACGATTAAATAATAATTAAGGACTCTATGCAAAGTCAATAATTTACAATCGATTGCTAACCTTATAAATAATTTCATTACCATCTAAAATTAATTTAGAAGTCTGTTGCATTCACATTACCTGTTCGAAATGATATTGCAGTGATTGGGCCCCAATCTTGTTGAAACTTCATCAGTGTTTCATCATATTTGAGGTTGTGGATAATGATTTGGCCAGTGGTCAAGCCAACAGCAATTACATCTACCGCTGGAGCCTATGCAAAAATGTAAGATATTTTTCAAAGGTGGTTTATGTTTCAACAAAAAATAGCAACTTTGTTATAAGTATTCTGGAATCTCTTCTCCAATAGGATTAATGAAGTTCTAAACAACCAATATTGATCTGTTGGAAAAAATTGAGGCAAGAATTTTAATAAGAAACTGAAACAGGGAGGAACCCACCATGGGCATTGAAATACCTATTCTTTTGTATAAACTCCCACATGGAATGTTCATTTAAACATAAATGAATCACTATTAACCACCTACACTGCCTTGCACATATTTGAAATACAAGTTCCCGCATCCTCAGACTGCGGTAAAAATTTAATTTGGATTCACTGGATTACAATTATAATGAGTATGTAAGAAGGCTGCTAAAGTAACGCAGGGAAATGAATGAGAACTTTTCTGCTTTATCATTTCAATAAATAAGAACATTTGAAACCTGTATCATTTTGAACCTACCTACAATTTTACCAATTTACAATTGGAAGTGTTACAAAACTGGGTTAAAACACAAAAGTTGTATTCACACCGATGTAGAGTCCTGTAGCACAGTGATAAAAACACTCGCCTCACAAGTGAGAGACCTGGGTTTGATTCCCAGCAGAGCAAAACGTTGGGCAAGTTTCCTTACTCCACATGCCTCTGTTTACCCAGCAGAAAGTAGGAACCTGGATGTTAGTCAATTGGCAGATCGCTTTCACGGGCATAATAATTCTTTCAAAAATAATAAAAATACAAATACAAAAAACAATAACAGCAACTTGCATTTATATAGTGCCCCTCAGGCAAGAGTGAATCATAATTTGCTTTACGTTGAAAAGTACTCTGATGAAACATTATAAATTAATATTTCAACGGTGGGTGGTTTGACCACTAAAAACTTTTTTAAAAAAAATACATGAAGAAACATTCTGCACCAAAAGTTTATAAAAACTTTTCTGTTTACACTACCTTACTGTCACATACATTTTTGAAGAAAATCTTGTTTGTAATCTTTTTTTTTAAAATAGGCATTTGAATTAATCAGTTGATAAATTTGTTTTTGAGCCTAGCGCAAATCGAATAAGACAAAATTGTTAATATTAGGTTCAATGCTATCAGTTCTAACCAAGGTTTGTGAAACAATTAAAGCACAGTATTTAAACTTACAGAAACATAACAAAATACTGCACTGACCTGCTGAAGCACTGTCACTCCCGAGCCCCAACCGTGAAACGTATATAAAAGTTTGCTACAATAGAAACATGAAAAAAGCATACAAATTATCTTAAGAGATTAAAAAGTTATCCTAAAGGTAAATGATCACCAAACTTTAATTTCCATTGTGTTATTAAGGTTATAGCTCAGTTATATTTGAGGGACGACAAACTGCAACCATCTTAATCAAATAACAAAATACTCTCCAAGTGAATCACCTCTTTATTAAATGCTTATCAGAAACTAAGCCACTAAAATGCATGTTTCTCACATTGAGAAAAAGTACAATAAAGATTCACTAGAATTCACACCCATTTTGGGAGGAACCACTAACCAGTTGTACAAGTTTTTTTAAGTAATATATCACTTTCTAAATAATAAGGTTCATGTGTCATTCCTCGATATTGTTCACAGAAGTAAATTGAATACCTTAACACCAGTTCAAACAGAGCAAAAAAAATGAATGGTGCATTAATTAGGTTTCTCATCTCCTCATTTAGATCAGAATCTATATATTTCTGCAAATGTAACTTAAAAAACAGAAGCAAATAAGAGGTAAGCACAGCAAAACAATAATGCAGAATTCCACTATGTGAAAATTAAAGTGTTATAGGATGCAACATATTGGGGTCATGAGATGCTAGAACACAAGCTCACTGCTATGATTTCCCATCTCGTGATGCTCAATCTTACCCATGCAATTAGGAGTTACAAAATGAAACGCAATTATTTATTGCTGTTAAACAGGAAGACATTAGGCTAAGTGTGAAAAATAATTATAGGAGTTGAAACTTTAAAAGAAGGCTTTTCATGAAGAATCTTATAAAATAAGGAAGCTGAACTAACTTGGACTTGATATTCCACAGCTGGAGGCTCCCTTGATAACTCCCCAGAAGAATTTTATTGATATAGGTACTTGGATGAAAAACAGCGGAAACTCTGAACACGTTCTTATCAAAGTTCAGCTGAAGATACTCTTCTGCAAAAAACAGAACATGCAAAGAAACAATAATAGATCATTGTCAGGGCTATTCTAATGTCAGCTAACTACTGAACAAAGGCTTCCTCTATATTTTTCCATTTCCAGTAACTGTAGATACTTCTTGGTCATATTTATCGTTTTGAACGTAGCAAAAAAGAGCTTGCATCAAATTATCATGCATATCATTTACAACTACAGCATTACAGAATGATGCTGCACGCCCCTTAGCACCTCTTTCTTGTGTTAGATAGGAAATCCAGGTGACTTAAAGGAGCCACAGGTACTTTATTGACAAAAGTCCCCAAAATCTATCCAGCAAGCCATTTACTACTCCAATCCGTTTTGCTAAACTGCTAAGATGTAGCTTAGCCATTCAATGTCCCAAATATTACATTTCTGCCTGCTCATATTATGATGAAGTTGGGAAGACAGAGTGTAGCCTCCAACTATGACTACAATTTTAATTTATTGAAAACAACCAGTTGGCAATGAGAGTATGATCAAGTTTCACTGTGATTTTCCCATTCTATTCCAGTCAATTTGTCTTTCAAGAGTTTTCTTCCTGCCATGAACAGTGGTAACTTGAGTACAGAACTGCAGGGCTCAAAATACCATGGAATTAAACTTCAGCGAACAAAAAATGGATAGTGGAAAAGTGCTAATTTACAACACATATTTTTACAAATCTACATTTATATAGGCGTTTCACATCGGGAGGACATCCCAAAGCATTTAACAGAACTGCCTGGGCACCCGAGGTGGGGGTGGGAGCCGAGGGGAATGAGAAGGGGAAAGATGACCAAAATCAAGGTCAAAGCGATGGGTCAAGACAGACCTGGAGGTTAGAGGGAATGAGTCGGATGGACTCCGGTATGGAGTTCCAGAGAGTGGGGGCAGAAACATTGAAAGATCAGTTTCATAAAGCAGAAAAGAATATAAGCTTTTCACAAATGGGCGTATTATAATAATATTGGTTGGAGTACAACAACTTGCATTTATATAGTGTCCTTCACAAAGAACAAAGTCTTAGAACACTTTGATGGACATTGAATGGGAAGGTGGGGACGGGGGGAAGAGGGAGAACAGGTCTGGTCGAACAGGTAGGTTTTAAGGCAGGGCTTGAAGACCATGTGGGGGTAAGAGTTCCAGATGTTAGGCATGTGGAATCAGAAAGCTCGACCACCAATGGTGTCTACTGTGGGTAGGTTGGGGATCACACAGCAAGCTTCAGTTAGCCGAGTGGAGGCGGCAAGGAGATGAGGAGTAAGAGGAGCAGAGAGACAGGGAGTTCTTAGTGCATGATGGAATTTATTGATGAAGGTGAGAATCTTAAAATTGATTTCCTGAGAGACAGGGAGCCAATGTAACCTGGCAAGGACTGAGGTGATGACCATATAGAGCTTGGTTTGGGTGAGAATGGCAGAGTTTTGGATAAGTTGACGTTTATGGATGATGAAGCTGGAGAGATCAATGAGTTGTTTGTTCGAAAGATCAAGCCATTAGGTGACATCCCAGAATCCTGTATCTTACTCACCTTCTGACTGTACATCCCAAATTATAAGAATGTTATCTCGGTCTACTGAGATTACATGATCACCAAAAGGCAGTAGAAGGTGAACCTCTGCATTATGTCCTTTGTATGTATGCACAACCTAAAGGGAATAGAAATTTATCAATCGTTAGATTATTTGAGGTCAGACAATAATTAATTTGCTACTGAGATCTAATCCTAAATTGTGTTGCACTGTATACAGTATTTAAAATGCACATTTCCAAGATAGCAGATACTGTACTGTGTCTCCCTTTGTTCTGTATTGAACCGTTGAAATTTCAACAATCTTTTATGAATCAAGAAAGTTATCAAGCGTGTGTGTGTTTATGTTGTGATTGTGTGTGTGTGTGTGTGCGTGGGGGGGGGGGGGGGGGGGGGGGGGAATTTAACTGATACCTACCACCATTCAGTACAAAACTTTTCAGGCTTCTCTACTTTTCTTTTGTGAGTCTCTTCAGACCTCTCCTGATCTCTGTCCAGCTGGATACCATGACGTGTCCTATTGGAGCTGCTTGTTATTGGCTGGGCTTGCTTTATTCTGCTGGCCTGGGGTAGTTATTCCAATTGATCAAGCTGACCCAATTGACAGCTCCCCTCTCCATATAATATTGCTACTGTTTCCATGGTGCTGGAATCTGGTGTTTTCACCCATGTTACACACCATTTTAGCAGATAATCAATAGGCAGCAACCAAGAAAGTATATCCCGCACAACAACCAAAAAACACTCACACACTCTGCTTTTCATCTTACAATTTTACCAATAAACCCACAAAAAGGTCAAAGTATTCAGATCACAAGCCCAACAATGGTATTTATTACTCATTTTTTATTTACTAATCAAAATGCAATTTCGCCAAATCTGGATTGCCAATTCGTCATGTGGTTAGAGGCGAATGGTTTGGTCAACCCTGATCTAGAAGGGCGAAATTCCTTTTCCATGGTGACATATTTCCTGGAATCAGATTTTTGCATTAGTAAGCACCTAGTACCAAGGGCCCTTTTTGATTTGTAAACATGTGCAATGGTCATTTTGCAAATTGTCCATTATTTAATGTGAAGTTATTAATGCTAGCATATATAAACTAAAATCCTCTCAGCTTGGTGCAAGGCCATACATTCCTTATTGTCAGATTCAGGGGGGAAAAACTGTGCATCTAGTAAATTTTAAGACATTTACAAGGTTTCACTTGCATACAGATGCTTCAAATAATGAAATATCCTTTATCTGTCATTATGTCTTTTCTATCTGAAATGTGTTTTTTACATTTTTCTCCCTTAAACTTATTACAGTGTTGAATTCTTAGACCAAATGGTTAAGGGAATTGCATATTTTTTTCTTCAGCAATTACTTAGTTTTCAATAGTCAAGGGCATTGGATGCAATTTGAAATCAGATAGTACTTTGCTGTTTACTCCCTAAAAATTACCAACTGCTGCATAAAGGCTTCATACCGTTGAATATGAAATCAAATCAATATAAATTACAGTTTCTGTGAGACTGACTACCTGTGTTCCATCAAGATGCGAGGGTAACTGGGAAGTAACTGGATATAAGAACGATCTTTGACAAAACTAGACTGCTAATACGTGGTATGTTGAGTTATCCATGCATCATTGATATCTTCATGTAGCACTTCTGTAGACATATTGGTATTTGTAATTGTTAAATCCAGTTTAGTAAAAATATTCACTTTGAAGGAAAAAGAGTCTTGTGTGTATACATTGGTTAGCAGATCTTCGTTGGAACAAACAGTTTGAAAATTTGAAAAAGTTTAAACCATCATAAAATTTGATGGAGAGAATATACCAAACTAGTGGAACAATATTTAAACTCACCTCTTTGTTTCGAGCAAATGCTTTGACAAAATTGCCATGAGCTACAAACACAAGCATTCGATCTGCTGCCAGACAAGTGATGTCTTCAGGAAGTGCATTACCTAAAAATATAGATAACATGGGACTTAATCAGGGTTGATGTCTTTTAAAGAAAGTTAGACCATTTATTTATTACAGGTCAAATGCTAGGAAACAATATCACCAACAATCAGTTATAATTGCCTATTATATTTCCAATTAGAGAGAACCCCACCCCCCAAAAAAAAGATTTTCCTCAAAAGAAATTTCTGTCTCGTTGTAATTACATTTCATTCCTAAGAACATCACCTTGGAAACAGTTCAGTTCCAAAGAATCCCGCTTACTTTCGCCATCACTCCCCCGAGCTACAATTAAAGGGTGTGATGAATTACTCATTCAATTCTATCGTTATGAAACCATTCCTACTCAAACAAAATTGTAGGTGTAGTAGCAACAACCAAAACATGGTGCATTGAGAAACAAAGTGTGGGTGTAAATGAAATATTCAGCTGCTAACTTAGTCAGGATGATACTTTCACTCAGGAGTATATTTTATTATACACTTTATCAACAAAGACAATGCAAGAATGTGGAATGCCTTACCACACGAAACAGCCTCCGGGAAATGGGACTAAAAATATCAAATTTAAGGCCTTTTTTTAAAAAGTGCAATAGAAAAGCAGAACAGGCTTAATGGGCTGAATAGCTCACCAAGAACCAGTACAAACGGCCATTTAGCCCCTTAAGCCTGATGCTGATAGCATGCGTTTTACAATGCCTACAGGAAAATGTTTGTGTAAACTCTAAATGTGTAAAGCTGCCAGTCAAGAGGTTAGTTATAGTTTTGATGGTTAATTATATTCCTGAAGTAGCGTATGTGCAGGCTTCGACATGCAAAAGAAACTCATGAGTATATATAATGGTTTCAATTTATTTTTGTGCGTGGAAACTGCAAGGTCACTTCAAATTAAAACATGAATAAAAGATGGAAAATTGATGTACTTACTAACTGCAACTATTCCAAGTTTTTTTACCTGTTAAAGAACATAAACGTTAATGTTCACAAAAAGACAATTTACTCTATAGTTAATGGATCCCAACAACAACAACAAAATTACATTTGTATAGCGCCTTTCACTTCGGGAGGACGTCCCAAGGCACTGGCCAATCAGTGGTTCGGACCAAGATTCAATGATTGTGTTACCCAAGAGAACAATACTATGATTCCCTTCACTATCCTTGCCATAAATCTAATTTAACATATTATTTTGAATATACAGAAATCACTTAATGTTTACCATTCAGTGGCCTATGCATTTCAATAATCAGGAGGGTTTGGCACAAAAATATTATCGTAACCAAATTTATAATAATAATCCTTGCATTTGATATAGCGCTTTTCACGTCTTCTAGATGTCTCAATGTGCTTCACAGAAAATACTGTAAAGTGAATTGACTATATATTTGTGAGCGAAACGCGGCAGCCAATTGTGCACAGCGGTGTCCCATAAACAGTCGTGGATTGATAACCAAATTATTAGTGACTGGTCTGCCCTTCCAGGTCCTGTCGATGAGCCAAGCTGGCTCTGTTTGCATCAGCAGTGCCCTGGAATACTGTGGACCCATCTGGCTCAGGAACCGGACGACCGGGACCCCCACAGAGCTTGATTCCGACATTCCATTGCCAGGCATGTCACCTAGAAGCCATTCCAACTCCTGCTTACCTCCCCAGCTGATCTCCAACCCCTCTCCTTTTCCACCCCAAGAGGACAGTCACTAGTTGTTCGTTCAACATGCGACAAGTGCAGGTTTGAGCTCTTACTAGGTGGATGGTAGGTACAAGAAACTCCCTGTGAGCTTCCCGGTCGGCAACCCATCTCAGCATAAAATGCATGAGAGCATCGCCACCATCTTCTTGTCCGCAGCTCGGGCACATGTCATAGAATCATAGATATCCCTTCCCATTGAGCGATGGTTCCATCAATTGGAGGTGCAGAGTTTAAGCAGTAGCTGCTTGCCTCTCTGCAGGCCAATCAAGGTAGATTCCAGGCACTGAACGTAGGAACATGTGTTCACTAACTCTGACTCCAGGTAAAGCCTTCCAGCAGCTGTCACCTCAAGCCTCAGCTATCTGGTGGGTATCTGCCTTCAGCGTGGTGGAAGGAGATTTACAGGACAGCTTGTGACATGCCAGCCACCTAAATGTTCTTGAGGTCCAAGTCCAATGCTGTGTACCAGCTTACTCAGCACCAGTTGCTCACAGGTCCCCATGCAAGGGACCTTGGCAAATAGACGTGCCCGGTGTGAAGCCGCCTCACCTCCAGGGTGCTCAGCTGGAGTAGGGCGGAGCACTCCCTGTAGCCACTTTTCATGTTTGCCACAAATCCATCTCACTGCTTGATCCTGGATTTTGCAGATCGGTCGGAGGAAGCCTCTCCACTGCATCCCCAGAAGCTTAGATGCTTAAAGGAGGACTATTGGCACACAGGTCTTATATATCACAAGATTGACCTGCATTGGGACCTTGCTGTCCTTGAATAGGGAAGGGAAAAAAGGAGGAGGGGTGGCAATACTCATTAGGGACACGGTCACGGTCCTGGAAAAGGACAATGTGTTAGAGGGTCCAAAAACTGAATCTATTTGGTTAAGAGTTACGGAGCTGAAAAGGAGCTGTTACTCTGTTACGTATTTACTATAGACCTCCAAATAGTGGGAAGGAAATAGATGAGCAAATCTGCAAGCAGATTTCGGAGAGATGCAAAACCAACAGAGAGGTGATAATGGGGGATTTCAATTATCCACAGTGTAAATGGCAAGGAAGGGAAGGAATTCCTGAAATGTGTGCAGGAGAACTTTCTGGATCAGTATGTTTCCAGCCCAACAAGGAAGGAAGCAGTGCTGGATTTAGTTCTGGGAAATGAAGTTGGGCAAGTGGAGCAGGTTTCAGTCGGAGAGCATCTGGATAACAGTGATCACAATATCATTAGGCTTAGAATAATTAATGAAAAGGACAACAATCAATCAAAGATAAAGATCTTCAACTGGAAGCGGGCTAATTTCAGTGAGCTAAAAGGGGACTTGGCCAAGATAGATTGGAAAGAAAGATTGGCAGGTAAGACAGCAAATGAACAATTGGGATTAAAATAAAACAGAAAAAGGAGGCTTATGACAAATGTCAGGTCCAAAACAAAAAAAAGATTAGCAGGAAACGTAAAAGGGAACCCTAAGGTATTTTATAAGCATATCAAGAGTTAAAGGTTACTCAAAGGTAGGGTGGATTCAATTAGGAACCCAAGTGGAAATCTTCTTGTTGAGGTAGAGGGCATGGCTGATGCATAAATAAGTACTTTGCAACTGTCTTCACAAAAGAAGATGATGCAACTAATGCCAGCCACAATATCACAGGAGTGTGAACAGAAATTGGACATGATAGTCACCTGGTCTGGACGGGATGCCTCCTAGGTTACTGAGGAAAGCAAGGGTGGAAATAGTGGAGGCTCTGGCCACAATTTTTCAGTCCTCTTTGGATAATGGACTGGTGAGAGGTCTGAAAGGTTGCAAATGTTACTCCCCTGTACAAAAAGGGGCAGAAGGATAAACCTGAGAACTGCAGACCAATCAATCTAACATCAGTAGTAGGGAAACTTCTGGAGACTATAATCCGGGAACATATAAATTCTCACTTAGAAAAATATGGTTTAATAAAGGACAGTCAACACGGATTTGTTAAAGGCAGATTGTGTCTGACAAACCTAATAGAATTTTTTGATGAAGTGACTGAGAGGGTGGATGAAGGTAGTGCAGTAGACGTAGTTTATCTAGATTTTCAAAAGGCATTTAACAAAGTGCCACATAAGAGACATATAAACGAAGTAGAAGCCCACGATATTAAAGGGACCGTGGCAACATGGATCCAGAACTGGCTCGGAGACAGAAAGCAGAGAGTGGCAGTAAACTGTTGCTTTTCTGACTGGAGGGAGGTGTGTAGTAATGTCTCTCAGGGGTCGGTATTGGGACCACTGCTCTTTCTGATCTATATTAATGATCTGGACCTAGATATAGGGAGCACAATTTCCAAATTTGCAGACAATACTAAGCTAGGAAAAGTAGTTAATGGTGAGAAGGATAAGAACTTAGACAGATTGGTAAAATGGGCAGAAATGTGGCAGATGAGATTTAATGTGGAGAAATGCCAAGTTTTGGTAGGAAGAATGAAGAGAGGTGGTATAAGATAGATGGTACAATCTTAAAGGGGGCAAATGAACAGAGAGATCTGGGGGTCCACATAAGCAAATCTCTGAAGGTGGCAGGACAGGTAGATAAAGCTGTTAAAAAAGCATACGGGATACTAGGCTTTATAAATAGGGGCATAGAATTCAAAAGTCAGGAGGTTATGTTGAATATTTATAAAATGCTGGTTAGGCCTCAGTTGGGAGTACTGTGTTCAGTTCTGGGCACCGCACTTTAGGAAAGATGTGAGGGCATTGGAGAGGGTGCAAAGGAGGTTTACCAGAATGGTACAAGGAATGAAGGACCTTAGTTATGAAGAGAGGTTAGCGAAACTAGGATTATTCTCCCCAGAGCAGAGAAGATTAAGAGGGGATTTAATAGAGGTTTTTAAGATCATAAGATTTGGGTTAGGGTTAGGGTTGAACCGGGAAAAACTGTTTCCATCGGCATGTGGGTCAGTAACCCGAGGACACCGATTTAAGTTAGTTGTTAAAAGAAACGGAGGGGAGGTTAGGAAAAAATGTTTCACCCGGCGAGTTGTTTGGATCTGGAATGCATTACCTGAAAGGAAAGGTAGTGGAAGCCGATTCAATAACAACTTTTAAGGGAGAAGTAGATGGGTATTTGGGGAGGACAAGATTGCAGGGCTACGGAGAGAAAGTGGGCCAGTGGGATTGAGTTGGATTGCTCTTTTTGGCGCCGGCGCAGACGCGATGGGCCGAATGGCCTCTTTCTGTGCTGTATGAGTCTATGATTATTAACCACACGTGCCAAAGTCCTAATAAGTAGGGTAGTCCCTGTTTGACGAGCAGCCAAACGCTTGTTCTCAATGGCAGACTATACAAGACGGTCAAACTGCAGCCGTACCTCCGCTGCAAACCCCGGAGCTAACGACACAGGCGTCACAGCAAAGCGCGAGGAATCATTATGTTATTAGGGCAGCACTCGCGCTGCAGCCCCACGTCCCGCGCGTCGTGCGCCGCTGCGCCCAACCCCCGGAGCATCAACATCCTGTGACGCAGCGGAGACAAACCGCTTCACACGCCGGGGACCCCCTGTCCCAGACACCCACCGCAAGCTGCACCCCCTCCCCCCCACCCCACCCACCCGGGTGACACGCTCCGGGCCCTGTGGGGCACAGCAGCACACACCGGGCCTCACGCCGTACCCCGGGTACCCCCCAGAGGGCACGTGCTGCACCCACACCGGGCGTGGTTTGGCCGCGCTGTGCGGGTTGGGGGGGTTTATTTATGTTTATTGTATGGTGGGTTTCCTCGGCCCCCTCTCGGGCGGGTGTACTCACGTTGTAGGTGTGCAGACTGGCGCCCACCGCCGTCACCAGGTAGAAGGTGCGGTGCCGCTGGTGGAAACGGACCGCGTGAGGCACGTGGTTACAGTACAGCGCGAGCGCCCGGTAACCGCTGAACAGTCCACCGCCACCGCGAGGCATCGTCAGCCCAACCCTGACCCACCCTGACCCACCCTGACCCTGACCCTGACCCGGGCGGCGAGGCCAGAGACAGCGCGGGGCTCCGGCGGCTTCTCTCCCTCTCCCTCTCTCTCTCTCCTCTCTCTCCGCTCGTCTCCCAATCACTGGCTTCGCCGAACGCGCGGTTCGCTTCAACTGTGTCACACTCTAACCTTTCCCCCTCCGAACAAACACCAGCAGCTCGGTTCCGCTTCTCACTACACCAGGGCAAGGGGGAGGGGGGGACTGGGGGCAAAGGGGGGGGGACTGGGGCAAAGGGGGGGGGACTGAGGGCAAAGGGGGGGGACTGAGGGCAAAGGGGGGGGGACTGGGGCAAAGGGGGGGGACTGAGGGGCAAAGGGGGGGACTGAGGGCAAAGGGGGGGACTGAGGGCAAAGGGGGGGGACTGAGGGCAAAGGGGGGGGACTGAGGGCAAAGGTGGGGACTGAGGGCAAAGGGGGGACTGAGGGCAAAGGGGGGGGGACTGAGGGCAAAGGGGGGGGACTGAGGGCAAAGGGGGGACTGGGGACAAAGGGGGGGGGACTGAGGGCAAAGGGTGGGGGGACTGAGGGCAAAGGGGAGAAAACGGCAAAAGGGGGAAACTGGGGGCAAAGGGAGTAAATTGTGCCTCGTGTGCAGAAAACGGTCTTGTAGCGCGATTACAGCACTTGCAAGTGAGAGGATCTGAGTTTGATTGGTGGGCAGGTGAAACGTTAGGCAAGTTTCCTTATTCCACATGCATTTGCCTGGCAGTAAGTGGGAACCTGGATGGTATAATAATAATAATAATCCTTGCATTTGATACAGCGCTTTTCACGTCAGGGAGGACGTCCCAAAGCGCTTCACAGAACACACTGTAAAGTGAATTGACTGTATATTTGTGGGCGAACGCAGCAGCCAATTGCGCACAGCAATGTCCCACAAACAGTCGTAGATTGAAAATGACCAATTTATTATTGTTTTTGGTTTTGGAGGGATTATTATTAGATGTGTGCAGTAAGGAAACTTGCCCAAGGTTTCGCCCTCTGCCTGGAATTGAACTCAGGTCTCTCACTTGCAAAGCGAGTGCTCTAACCACTGAGCTACAGGACTCGATTGATGGATCGCTTTTCCAAGGGTAATAATTTCTTCAAAAGAAAAAATAATAATTTAGTCACTCAATCTACAACTGTTTGTGAGACACTGCTGTCCCACAATTGGCTGTTGCATTTCACCTACAAAATATACTGTCAATTCTCTTTAGAGTATATCCTGTGAAGCGCTTTGAGATGTCTCGAAGACTTGATAAGACGCTATATCAAATGCAGGGATTATTATTATGTACTGTACAATGAATGGCACAACCAAACAGATTTCAAAACAGAACAGAACTGTTTTAATAAAGTATAAACTTAATTTGCAGTTAGTTGGGATATCTACATTATCTGATGCCACAATGACTGGTCAAAACCTCATCTTCCATACTTGCTCACTGTCCTTTGTCATTGCAGCCGGCAAGTGCGTAGGAAACAAAGCTTTAACCCGCCAAACGGATCCTGGGACCGAGCCAGGGGGAGGGGGAGGAAGGTGACCAAAGGCTCAGTCAAAAAGAAAGATCTTCAGCAGAGACCTGAAAATGGGAAGGGAGGGAGCGAGACGAAGGGAGTGAGGAAGGCAGTTCCAGAGCCTCGGGGCATAGTGGCTGAAGACACGGCTGCCGAGGGTGGAGCCAAGGACTCGGGGGACGAGGAGGAGGCCAGATCCGGAGGAACGAAGGCGACGAGTACTGTTTTGAGGAGAGAGGAGGTCAGAGAGGTAGGGGGCTGCAGAGGAGCGCAGGGACTTGAATACAAGGGTGAGGATCTTGAAATCGATCCTCTCTGGGACAGGCAGCCAGTGCAGTCTGTCAAGGACTGGGGTGATCGGGGAGCGGAGTTTCTTGCGGGTGAGAATGCGGGCGGCAGAGTTTTGAATGATTTGGAATTTATGGATGGGAGACTGGCGAGGAGGGCATTAGAGTAGTCCAGCCGAGAGGTGACAAAGGCATGGACCAGGGTTTCAGTGGCTTTTGGGGAGAGGTATTGGCGGAGGTGGGCGATGCGACGGAGGTGGGAGAAGGCGGTGCTGGTGAGGGACCAGATGTGGGGAAGGAAGTATAATTGGGGTTTGAACCTGATGCCTAGGTTGCGTACGGGTTCGGAGAGTTTTACGGGGAGGTCGGGTAGGTGAAGTAGGTGAGAGCCGTGAGATTTTAGACGTTGACAGGAGCCAAATAGCATGGCTTCCATCTTGTCAACATTCAGCTGAAGGAAGTTTGTGCTCATCCAGCCCCTGAGATCTGACAGGCAGGCTGACAGAACATCAGGGGACTGGGGGTCGCAAAGAGAGGTGGAAAAATAGAGTTGGGTGTCATCTGCATACATGTAGAAATGTACCCCATGTCTGCGGATGACATCCCGAAGAGGGAGCACGTACATCAGAAAGAGGAGGGGACCAAGGATGGATCCTTGGGGTACCCCGCAGGTGACCGGGTGAGAGCGGGAGGAGAAGCCGTTTGTGCAGATGTACTGCTGGCGGTTTGTGAGGTAAGACTCGAACCAGGCGAGTGCGGTCCCACTGAGGTGGATGACGGAGGAAAGGTGGTGGAGGAGGATGGCGTGATCGACTGTCGAATGCGGCGGAGAGGTTCAGGAGGACAAGTAGGCAGAGGGAGTCCTGATCACAGATAGAGAGGATGTCGTTTGTGACTTTCACAAGAGCAGTCTCTGTACTGTGGGCAGGGCGGAAACCGGACTGGAGGGGTTCGAAGCGGGAGTGGGAGGAGAGGTGTGCACGAAGTTGGTTGGCAACGACGCGTTCCAGAACTTTTGAGAGGAAGAGCAGATTAGAAATAAGGCGGTAGTGGATGGGTTTTACGACTCATGCATATACAGTTAAGTGGATTTAATAGGAAATTGAACAGAACTCGGGCAAATGTACAACTTTGGCATTTATACAGATAAGACTTAAGCGAGTTTTACTATATTATGATTATATGCTAAAAGGATTTTACTGAAAACAACAAAACAAAATGATATTTGTATAGCGCCTTTCACGTCGGGAGGACAACTATATAACAGATGTGGTTAATTCGATTTTTAAACATCAGTTAAGACTGAAAAATGACACCGTGCATGAACTATTTGTCTGATAAATTAGACAATAAGTAGAGGCCAGAAGCTGTCTACTTATCACACAAGATAGATAAACCATAACCAATTAACTTGGAATGCAGAATGTGAGAAGTTTACAGGCAGTACAGTACTTGGCTACTGTTTTGGTAAATTTAGGCTTTTCCTAAACTTTGGGTCCACACTAAGAATTGTTTAGGAACCTTATCCTCTTCAGGTGAGAGTGGAATTTAACATGAAGGTCATTGGTAAAGTGGTATATAAGATTTCCGTTCAGTTTCAATTTCTGGGTGTTTGAACACATGTCATGTGAAACTCTCACTAAGTTTCACCTGGTTCAGGTTCAACTCTGAGTCAAGGCTATGCAAACAAATAACAGGATTGAGGGATCAATGTGTGTGTGAAATTTTTATTATTTTATTATTTATTTTTATTAGTTTCACAGTGTGTGAAGTTTTTATTAATTTTTAACTGAGAAGTTTACTATTAATAATCCTTGCATTTGATATAGCGCTTTTCACGTCGGGAGGACGTCCCAAAGCGCTTCACAGAACACACTGTAAAGTGAATTGACTGTATATTTGTGGGTGAACGCGGCAGCCAATTGCGCACAGCAATGTCCCACAAACAGTTGTAGATTTGTATTGACTGTGGAGAGCCCAGAAGCGCTCCAGGAAGCTATATAAATGCAAGTTGTTGTTGTATTTACTAGCAGAGAGTCCGATTCAGTGTTCTTGTAGAAAAACTAATAGTGTTTTTCAAGATTTCAACCCAGAAGCTTCTCTTCTTCTCTTGGCTTGCAGCAAAGCACGACCTTTGTTGCTTCTGTTCCAAATTCTGTGTGCTTTCTGGAGAGGTTCTCTATTAACCCTCGATACTTTTCAAGTTCAAACACTTTTCAGTTTCAACTCAGCCGCATGATAACACCATCTAAGCCTCAAACTATTACTGCTAACAGGATTCCATAATCAGGTACCAGTTAACAAGATTGACAAACTTCAAGTCACAGAGTGCACGTAACAATCGCATACACTAAAGCTTCCTAGTATTCCAGGTTTTAAAAAAATATTTTCAGCATGTATCTGTAATTTCTACTCCTTGTTCTTGTCAAAAGATTCAGGCTTCATTTCGCTCATTGTATCTATCTTGACAAGCATAAAGTACAGCTAATGGTTTGACTCCAAGATATTGGAGCATATTTTAAAAGAGACAAACTGCTTTCTCCAATGGCTAGGCAAATTTAGTTGCTGAACTGCACAGACTGCAAAATGTTCCAGTTATGATCCTCAGTCTGCAGTGCTGCCTGATTTCAACCACTTGGCAGGAGATGGACTACAAGTGGTTAAGGAGAAGAAAATCAGAGATTCCTCATCTAAATCCTCATCTCCTGGAGGAGAGTCGGGGAGCGGCGGCAGCACAGCGCTGGGAGGAGCCTGAGCCTACTGACCCAGGTACTTAAACTCGACGCCGGAGCGAGATCAGCTCGGGGGGGGGGGGGGGGGGAGGTGTGGGGCGGAGCGGGGGAACTGCTGACCTCATAGATTAGTTTTCAGGTGCGTGCGCGCGCAACAAAAAAAAAACCCTCTGCGCCCCCCCCCCCCAACCCCCCAGGGCTCACATCAGAGCCCACTATGGTCCTGTTGGGTTCGCTGCCCCAATCTACGGGATAATGCCATCCACCTGACCGCTCGCTCCCGGTCCCCGCGTGCGCACTATGGCTGCCGCTTTGACCCGAGCCCCCTCACCCCCTCCCTCCCGCCCCCCTCCTCTCTCCCCCCAAACCCTCCCCCCTCTGCATCTCTCCCGCTCTCTCCTCCTCTCTCTCCGTCCCTCTCGTCTTCTATCCCCACTTGACCCTCCCACAACCTCCCTCTGCTCCAGCCTGGGAATCCTCCGCCGGGCTCACCGCGGCACTCGGCGTTGGCTGTCCAGCAGCAGCCACACCGACTGCCCCATTCCCCACCACACTCGCCAGCCACCCCGGACACAGACCCGGGGAGTCAACCTCTCCTCCCTCATCCCCATTCCCCCCACCCCTGCCTCACAACC